GAGAGTCAGACGATGCTGCGATGTCCCACCATACAACATCCGAATGCCTGAGCAGGGGCTGCTCGTACAGCCCGTCGCATTCGCTCGAATACACGGCCCTGCAGTACGCGAGCAGGAAGGGCTCGCTGGACGAGGTCAGGTACGATATATGACCTAATAGCATATATTTAGTTAGTATTTGTTAATAAATATGAATATGAATCCAGGTACCTGATCGATAGTGGAGCGGATTTGGACTCTGGGCCGGATCCGGCCCTGCATCTGGCAATCCGCAGGAGGCACACTCCTATCGCCCTGATGCTGCTGCAGAGCGGAGCTGAATACGAGATGCGAGATTCCGTAAGTGCGAACGGATAAATTAGTATAAATGTATAATGATACAATTGCGGAGGATTTGCTTCTTGCATTTCAGCACGGAGATTATCCGATTCATATCGCCTGCACCGTTGGTCTTCTGGACGTGGTGCACACTCTGTGTGCGCTCGGCTGCAACGTCGAAGTGCCCACCACCAAAGGTCTATACCCTCTGCATCTGGCTGCAAAGAACGGGCACATCAATATAATAAGGTGATGAGCATCGATGATGTTGATGTGACGATGGTGATAAATCGATATGCATATTACAGGTGTTTGTGCACGGCCGGCTGCAATATCGACGTAAAGTACTCGGACAACGTCAGGGCGGATGTAACAGCCATCAAGTACGGATACAACGACATCTGCGAGCTTTTAGATAAGTTGCGTGCAACTGGGAACCGGGATCAGTTCGCGCGCCAGCTGGTTCCCACCTCTAAGCCGGCCCTGAAGCTCTCCCTTCGAGTCCTCGGCAATTGCGGCGTAGGGAAAACCTCGATGGTCAAGTCTCTCAATGCTGGACTCTTCAGCTCTTTGTTCAGACGTTCCAGCTCGCTGCAAAGCAACAAATGTAATAATAAAAAAAAACCTTTACAGGACTTTCTCGATTCGCTTCGATTGAATAATTTGATATTAATTATTATTAACAGCAAGACCTTCTTCACCGATTAACAACACACAGATCGAGATGGACGTGACGTCGCGTCAGAATTCGCTGAACTTCGAGTCTACGGCCAATTACAATTCGACCAACGGCATTCACGTGCAAAATGTAATTAACGAAAACTCACCCCACACAATTATTCTCTAACTGTTTGCGTCCGTCCATTGTGTACGTACAGGTGGACATATCGAACGTGGGAGAAGTCACCGTTTGGGAATTCTCCGGGCAGGAAAACTTCTTCCCCGTCTATCATCATTTCCTGTACCCGAATCCGCACGCCATCACCGCCATCCTCTTCAACTTGGAGGACACCGTCAACGTGCAGATACAGCAGGTCTTATTCTGGCTGAACTTCCTGATGGCAAGGCAACACTCCGATTTACCGTCCTGTGCGCATTCTGATTTCGATACTCTTATATACTTTTTTGACTTGTTTGTACTTACTCGATGTACTCATTATTTCGTTGCAGATGAGTACGGTAAGATTGTGCTCGTCGCGACGCACGTGGACACGACTCGCGCCGTCAAGAATCAGCAGGGCGAATGGATCTGCCCCGATGCCCAGAAGACGGTGGACGCCGTCATCAAGGCGACGCCGCACGCTTTCAACTTATCCAAGAGTTACCTGATCGCCGACTGCAACGTTCCCGCCTCGTACGCATTCAAACAACTCAAGGGAATGCTCTCAGCACTGAAACAGAATTGCCTTCAGGTAATAATGTTCGTTATATACAACCAAATTTTATTTTTCAGACCAGTACCTTCTCCTTGTTTCTATTTTCTTTCTTTCCTTGTCTATTTGATTTATTTTCCAGGGGGGGAATTTGCGCGGTACATTAAATCGCGGCGGTTACAACCTGCTCGCCGGCCCCGCACAATCGAAGGTTTGAATTAAGTGTGCTTTGAGAAACAATCCACCGATCGGAGAAGAGACGCACCATGTTCCGTCCTGTTTGTCTGTTTTTTTTTTACTTTTTATTATTTCTCTTGCGCTTGTATATACTTGCAGGACAAATCGTCGCGGACAAAAACCTCTATTTCTGTTTTTATTTGTTTAATTTACTTACGTTATTGTCGTCTTCTCTGTGTGTAAAGCAATCTGTTGGGACGTGGACCGGATTGCTGGAGGCGTCTCTGCTGTGGCTCGCAGGACTGCAAAAGCAGTACGAGCAATTCCCTGTGCTCACGAGGGAAGTCTTCTCGGAGTTGCTGCGTGCACAGGTCAATCTGCTGGCTTCCGATTGTCATATCTGCGAGCTTCTGCAGCAGCTCCACTTGATGGGAGAGGTTTGTTCCTTATTTACAGAATACGTGTATATAGTAAAATATTTTGTTGTTGTAGGTATTTTGCGTGCAACAACTGGTTGTGATATCGGTGCCGTGGCTGGGGACGCAACTGATCGGGGAGTTGTTTAGCATGCAATTCCAGAATCAATCACGCGTCACCGGCGTCTACACTTCGGAGGATTTCCAGGCGGGATACAATCAGTGCGACGCGCTCGGCGTGCTCGATCTGCTGCGCTCGATGGATCTATGCGTTCGGGTAGTGCTTTTAGAATCTGCAAAATATTTATGATATTAATGATATGTTTTAGTGCGAGTTTGAAGGAGACGTCGAGTACGAGTTTCCCATTTACAATCAGACGGAGACGCTGTCCGGTTTGTGGGATTCTGGCGATCCCAGATACAGGACGACAGGCGCGTGCTACGGAGGGGCCAGACTGCAGACTCCACCCGACACGTGCCATCTCTTCTCGTCGATATTCACCCACGTCCAGGTGGATTTGAGGAAGGCCACGCTGGAGAGCGGCGCGGCCAACGAGACCGATCTCTATCAATGGTACAGAGGTTCGAAACTGTGCACCTCCGTGCTGGAGACGTTGATCACGTTGCACGAGGACGCCTCCACCGGAGACGAGTTCATCGAGGTGAAGATACGCGGGCCACGGGAGAGCTCCCAGTACTGCTTCCACCTCTTCGAGCAGGTGCTCGAGACGGTGGGACAGGCGTTGAAGAGGGTGTGCCCGGGGCTTCTGGTGGAACGGCACGTGCTCAGTCCGCAGCAGCTGAGGATACACGACCCCGAGACTTACGCGTACGAACCGCAGGTGCTGGCAGCGGCGATGCTCGAAGCGGAATCCACGCTCGACGTGACGATCCACAACGCCTACACCGACAAGCAGGAGAGCATAATCCAATTGGTCCTATTCGGTGAGTCTGCAATTCAATTGATAATATCTAATAACCATGAACAATGAGCGTTTTAGATGATCAGGCAATCGCGCACAACATTCAATGGGGATGCGCTCTGAAGGTGAGGGACGTACCGACGCCGGCGAAGCTCAAACTGTGCGGACTGCTGGATCCTCCGGAGCCGCACGGAAGAGATTGGTGCGTCCTGGCTCTTCGCCTAGGACTCAGCCAGGAGAGGATCGCCGCTCTGGATTCGCAGCATTCCAGCTGCACCATGCGTCTTCTCTCCATCGCCGACTGCTCCATCGGTAAGCAATCATCACAACCATCTCCTGTTCCTCATCATCACCATCATCGTCGTCGTTCTCCATCGTCTATAAACATTACAATTGAAATAGAATTGCTGCAGCAGTACAAGTACAAACAACCATCAATTTCCATCCTTCTTTCCCTTTATCATTTTGCTCTATCTCTTTTCTTCTTTGTTGTTTCCATTTTTATAGGAGCTCTAGTAGCCAGTTTGCATGATTTAGATCGAGGGGACGCGGCCGACGTCGTGTTGCGTTCGGCCCCATTGCTGAAGGTCGTAGAGCATGTCGATTCTTAGGCAACACACAAAACACACACACACACATACACGAGCATCAATTAATTGTACATACATACAAATTAAACACACACTCACATACATGCGCGTATGTTGTTATATGTGTAAATGCGATAACATAAACAAGACAAGAAACAGTTCACATTCCGGAAACGTTCGCGGATTGCCAAATGCATTTGACAAACAACAAGGATGAAGAGTGCGAGTTTCTGATCAGACACAAACAACGAACGGGTTTTAGTTTACTAACAATCTGTACAATTTGATTGGATTAGAACGAAAAAAAAAAGAGGGAAGAAAACAGAAAGTCTACAGGGAAAATAAATAAAACTCATTACTCACACACGGCACACACTCAGTATTAAAAACAAAAGAACATGTGATACAGATTAAAACAAAAGATAGAGAGAGAGTATATATTATATTTAGAGGGAGGTATAAAGCCGAGATTCACCATCTCGGCTTCATTTCCTCCACCCTAGTACATATTAGAAGATGTATTTTATTTATTAACTATAGAAAAGAATATATTATTATTATACTAATATTAATTAGAGTCTATTAATTATCATTATTGTGTATTAGCGTTACTAGATGTCGTGTTACTCTACTACTATTATTATTATTGTTTACTGTATTTCTCCCACTGTCCCAAGCCCACTCAGATAATTATTTTTTTAGTACAAGAAAATAGTAGAGATAGATTACAATTATTATTACAGACTAGTCGTATTTTCTTTATATATATATATGTTTTTCGTTAATCTTTTGTTTTTCTAAGATAGCTATTGTTGTTGTTAACTCTGTGGTGTATTGATGTATCTGAAGAGAGGAATAGTGGTCATGTGTCGTCTAGATGATGCATTTATATTTTTCTCGAAATAAAAAATATATATATAAATGGGTGGAAATGTTGCGTACATTATTTGTGATCATTGGAATTTCAGGAAGCGAAACTTATTGGGATCGGGAATTCGATTTTTCACGAATATTAACAGAGTGAAAACTGTCCGAATCTAATCTAAATTTTATTCGAAATAATACATTTTAATAATATATATTATAATAAAAATTAAATCTAAACCGTACATATGAAGAATATGAATATTTTTTTTTTCGTTTGTTTGTTTGTTGTTGTTCCTTTTGTATTTGTTGCAAGTATTATGACGATCTTTCTTTACCAAAAAAATATGTTTTAATGTTAAGAGTTGCGTTCGTTTGTTTCTTTAGTGTATAGTGGGAGTGGGGGGTGAAATGTGATCTTCAATGTCTAATTTTGTTTTTTTTTATCCCCCCCTAAGCCTAGCAACGAAAGAAACAAATGAAAAAGACAAACAGTCAACGACTCGTTGTAATAATAATAATAAAAAAAAGAAAACACTAAAGAAGAGAGAACTAAATAAATTATAATCGTAAATTCCTAACACGTAAAAATCTCGGTACGTACACCATATATTGTATTATGTATGTATTACTATATTATAATTAGAACAAAAAACAAAAATGCGGCGAAAATTAACACTAAGACTTTGCAAAAGAAGAGAAAAAAAAATAATAATTAGTATAAGGAAACAAAAGTATAGTTATATGAAATAAAAGAAACAAAGGATTTCAACGAACGGAAAAAAAAACACTATGTAGAAACGACTACGATGAGAAAAAGATTGGGTAATTATATATATGTATGTATGTATAAGATAAACCGTTCTCTAGAACTACGCGTAATTGCGTGCAAGTGCTGCTGCTGCTGCATCGTCGAAAAAGTGCAAGCGCACCAGTCAACAGGAAGAGGAGCCCTTTTTATACAACGTGTACACAGAGGAGAGATCGACATATAAACAAAAAAAAAACAAAGAAAAAAATAATAATGTGTCTGACAAACAGTTACATAATAAAAGAAATATATAAAGAAATTGTTTATGATTGATGGATGTGGTTCGGTTGTTTCTTCTCCGCGTGTGCGTGGGGTGCATGGAGAGCGCAATGCTTAGGCTCTCTCGCCACGGATTCGGCGCGCCAATTGGATGTCTTTGGGCATGATGGTTACTCTCTTGGCGTGGATGGCGCACAGATTGGTGTCTTCGAAGAGACCCACCAAATAGGCTTCGCTGGCTTCCTAAAACGCACGAAACAACAGAACACAACATGAGCAAACTGCGTAACCGAATAAGAAAGAAAAGAGAGGCGGGAGAGGTTTTTTTTTTTTTTGACGACTTACCTGGAGGGCACCGATGGCGGCAGACTGGAAACGCAGATCCGTCTTGAAATCCTGCGCGATTTCTCTCACCAAACGTTGGAAGGGCAGTTTGCGGATGAGCAATTCGGTGGACTTTTGGTACCTCCTGATCTCACGAAGGGCGACAGTACCGGGACGGTACCTGTGCGGCTTCTTGACTCCTCCGGTGGACGGCGCCGACTTCCTCGCGGCTTTTGTTGCCAACTGTTTACGAGGGGCTTTTCCTCCCGTCGATTTACGGGCTGTCTGCTTGGTACGAGCCATCTTTGCTTACTACTTCGTTCACTGCGGAAAAAAAAACAAAACACAATATTACTCCTACATTATCAACAACTGCAGCAGTTCGTAAACAACGTACATTCGTCGTCCTATTCAAATTCTTCGTGAGCAACACGTCACTGCAAAATGAAACGATTACATTAATCAATCGTTTCTTCATCAGTCACCATATGACAATAAACACAACAACATAAAGCCTTCGAAAGCAAACCGATCACTTTTAAAACAAAGATAAACTTGATTCATTTTACAATAAACACGAGTAAATTATTTGCAATAACAAACAAAACAAAAAATCTAAACAGAAAAGATAATTTAGAAATTGTATTGATTCATAGATAAGAATGATAAACTAAAAAGTTGACGCAGCAATATAAAATATTGATTTGAACAAAAGATGCAAACCAAACAATTTGTTGTTTTTTCTGAAAATATAATTTTAACAGCAATTGCAAATGTTTATAAACAGGAAGTGAATCTATCAATATTAAAAAAAAATGCATTCCCCCATTTAAAACTATGTTCGTGTGGGTTACAAAGGTCCCTCTGAACCCCTATGAAATGAAGCAGATGCAACAACCCCAAATAACTAGAAATCAGGTATAAAAATGGGAAGATGAATGACCAAGAAAATACCTTTATAATAAGTACAATAATCCCCCTAATTTATATTTTGTGAGAATTATTTTCAACTAGTCAAAAAAAATTGTAAATGGATTGGATGAAATTGTTTATCGTTCTATGAGAGGTTAAATTGCATATAATTTAAAGCAAATATTAATTTAGAAAGTAAAAAAAAAGTGGACTGTATTACTATAAATTAATATTAGAATTGTTCACGTGATGTAACTGTAGTTGTATGTTGACCATAGGTCACAAATAAACAATTCAATTTTCCCGCCATTGACAGTATGCAATCAACACAATTGATAAAATAACGATTTTTCTACTAACCTAGAAAAATCGCGTTAAGTTTAATTGGGAGCAAACGGCGGTCGACGTCTTCTGTAGCTACAGAGGAGGATACGAGAGATATGTATAATTTTGGCGCCGAAAAGCTGATGCCGCGATGCACAAAACAATATCGATTCGTTCGAACGGGGACCGCGCGGGAGAGACTAAGGGGGGTCGAGGAGGTCGGGGAAGCGGTGCGTTGTTCGAGAGAAAAGCAGGCGAGAGAGCGAGGAAAAACAAAATAAACACGTAATGGCGGCCGAGAGCACGCAAATAGTTGTTCCCTTGGCACGAGCGTACGCCGCGAAAACGACGCTTCCCCGGCGAACAAAGAACGTTTTTCGCCTTCACGAGATGACGCAAAACGTTAACACCGAACGCGAACAACGAATTCAAGGGTTTCTAGGGTTGTGGTACTTACAATTATTTGTCCTTTGCCTTTAGCTGCTTGCGACTTGACGTGCTCTCACGACGACCGCTAATGTTCAACTGAAGCTGCGCAATACAAACATCCACCGGCACGGGGGGTGCAACGGTGGCCACCTATTGGCCAAAATAACGAGCGACGCGATTGGTCGACGCTGTCGCTCGCGTCCGCGGACCCTCGAAATTCAAAAATCTGTGCGTCCGTCAACGCGAACAAACGAATTTCCCGGATTTTCCGGAAACGCCACACCGGAAAACCCGTTACCAACGGAAAGCCACAGAGGGATCGCAATCGCACGCACTCTGACTTGTGCGAAAATCGGAAAACTCGCGTTCTAAAAATAGATTTACAGCGTCACGACGGAGGTCACCCGCACGAAAATCCGCGGAAAATTAACGTTTTTCGCGTTCAACGAACGTCGAACACTTCTCGAGCGAACCACACGTCCTTAAATACGTGGAAAACTCGCGGAAAATGTGCGGAAACTCGACCAGATCGAAATATATCGAAAAATAAAGGGAATTTTCCGAAAGACCGCGTGTCGCACATGACCGCCACCAGGTGGCGCTCCCGGAAAATCGCGGATTTCCCCCCACCAACGCGCAGCGAGAAAATTACTAATTGCAAATTCTAAGAAAGACAAAACAAAAAAAATAATAAAGATGTAAAGAAAGTGTTGTCATCATTCACCAATGATGTTTTGTTTTTGTTGTTTGTTTATTTAGGAAAAGTAAAGCGAGTTAAAGTCTTAAATCCATATTTTTAATTTGAAAATCTAAACTTCCCAAAAAAAAGGGGTTTCACATTTATTACACATATTTTTAATACCAAGAGACGAGAGAACAATTTGCACCGCCTTCCTCGAAAAAAAAAAATTAATAATAAAAAACAACGGACATTCACAGATTTTCTTTGTTTTCTCTACATGAAGGAAAAATAAGAAATCGAGGAAGGACGGGCAAACTAAGTAAATTTGTAAAGAGAACAGAATAAAACGGAAAATCACTCTCCAAAAATATTTATATCCTCATCATATAAACATGCACATCAGACGAATTACTTCATACATTTAAATATACACATATATATATATATCTTGATTTTTTTTTCTCTCTTCACACAGATCAACGAGGAAACGAACCTTTTCGCGCGCCCTTCTTTTTTTCTCTCTCTTGTTGCATTACCTCCAGCAACGGTTACCATGGGAACGGGAAGAGGTCCTTTGTTGTTTGCTCGTAACTAAACGCTATTGTTATCATCGTCATCGTTACAATAGGCCAACTAGATTTTTTTTCTTTTCCATCCAAAATTTTCTCTTCTCCTTCTTCGGGAACAACGACCAATCATAATTCCGTCCTAAATTTACAACTATTTCTTCTCTTACTTCTCCATCCGATCACAACAGCAACAACGAAAGAAATTAAAAAAAAAAACAACAATTATTTCAATAACTACCTACCTAACATATATTACTTTTAGAGTAGTGTACATATACATAATTAAAATAAAAAAAAAATGAACATATATTTTTTGATGTTTTCTTCTTCTTGTGTTGCATAAGAAAACAAAGAGAAACGAAATCGAACTCAGTAAATTGTTAATATTAATAAATAAGATATCAGTCGAAAGGGTGAATCGATAATATTCACTGCATCACCGCAATTAACAACAGAAATGTAAAATAACAACGATCGTAACCATGGCGATCGTGTCGTAACCAAGGCATAATAAGCTTGTTCTTCGAATGTTTCCAATTGAAAGATCACAAAAGCGCGCGTTTCGAACGAACAAAAGAAAAAAAAACGTGGTGTAAGAAATAGTTTCTTTTTTTTTTTTAGAAAAAATATATATAAGTATGCATATAAGTCAAAAATAATAAATGTAAAGTAATAAAAATAAAAGTAATGATAAATTCCAATACAATAAATAATAATAATAATAAAATAAATGACTCGCAGAACGCTCCGAACAATCAAATAAATCGCATGTAAACAAAAGAAGAGAAATAATAATAATAATAATGCGCTTGGCAACACAACGAAAGTGCAGGGTCGGAGTGAGCCCTGAAAGCTTGTTGTTTCATCGTCAAAAAAACAAAACAAAACATATCAAATTATTGGATTGTTACATTTGTGTGTGTTAGCGGCGAAAATTTGAAGATCGAATTGTTTTTGAAATTAACAAAAAAAAAAATAATTAGAAAAATTTGTTTTAAATCCTACTTACGACTAATTAAAAACGAAATTAAATTAAACGATGATACAATATAAAAAAAAAACGAAAAGGAGGAACAACGTGTGTCGATGATGATGATGATAATAATAATTACAAAAAACAAAAGAGTAAAATAATGGAATCGAATCGAGAAACGCGTTTCGGAAATTCGCGAGAGAAGATAAACAAATTCAAATATAAAACAAAAAAAAAACAAAAGAGTATAGAATCAGTGTTTTGTCTTCTTTTTAAGATGTCTAAGATTTAATGGAATAATTGTTTTTTTTGTTTTTGTTAGCTTAAAATTAGTTGTGTTGTAAAATATAATAAAGTTAGTAAAAGTGCTTAAAGCTTCTTGATAATAAACAATTAATACAGATGATGTAAAATAAGTAAAGTGAACGCGCTCGAATCCGACTCGAAAATTGACTTGTTAAATGAATTTATTATATTTTGAACGTCGAGCGAAAAGGAGACGCGATCATGCAAATCATTAATTAATTTGTATTTTTCCTCTCTCGTGAATTTCCACAAGCCGTTGAAAAATTTGGAATTTGATTTTGTTTGTTCCACGTTTTCTTTGTTTGATTCTAGTATGTAAAATTGAAAAATAGATAAACCCTACTTACATATATGTATGTATGTATATATAATATATCTTGTGTGCATATGTACGAATATACACCAATTTCTTTTTCATCTTCTTTATCCTTAATTAATAATAATTAAAAATTACATCAATTTGTTAAATGTACGCAATGTACCTGTGCAATATCAAAACTTTCATCTCCCATCTCATCTCTCTCCTTTCTACTCTCAAGTAAATCATTTACTTCTTGCTTTGTCCTTTCACTCCCCCTTTCTTATAACGCTCAATCAATATGAAATGTATTGGTTTTCTTTCCATCGTCAAATCTCATTCATCAATCTTAGAAAAATAATAATTTCTGGAAATGTTCTCTTCATCAACAATCTACTTCTTCTCTATCTCTCTCAATTTGTTGGTTGGCACTGTCAAATTCTGGAATATGATGAAAGGCGTTTAATGAAAAACGGGGAGGATGATGCATTCTCGATCGTCGGAATCGAAGAAGGTAGAGCTCAAGGGGATGTGTGTTGTTTGCAAAGGTATATTGCGTACAAGCCTACGTGTGTTAACCTCACATGCCGACGCTGCTCGCTAAGTTGATGGGCGTCTGGCAGTATGGGCATTCGGTCTGCGTTGCGGCGCACGCACTGCACAGTACGAAGTGATTGCAATTGAGAGTGACCGTGCGGTTCTTCTCCTCGCAGACCATGCACTTGGAGGCGGTCTCGCGGTACAGCACCTTATCCACCTCCTCCAAGTCCTGCTTAAGCTTGGACTGTATACCTTTGAGGGCGCCCAGCGACAGCTTACTCAGCTCGGACACCTTCATAATACTGTGCAGATGCGGTCCGCCCTGCGCCTGCTCGTAGTCCAACTTCAGCGCCCCGTACTGCGACACCAGATCGCCGATCTTTTGCTCGGCGACCGCCACCTTTCTGTTCGCTTCCTCGGTTTCGCGTTGCCACGCATCGCACGCCGTCTTCGCCTGCAGCAGTCGATCGCTCCAGCTGGCCAGCTGCAGTCTCGCGTTGCTCAGATCCTCGCGCAGCTGTGCGACCTCTATGCCTCCGGTGGCATTTCCACCGACGGTCGCGCCGCCTCCGACGCCGCTGCTGCTGCCGCCGCCGCCGCCCAGACTAGGCGACATGCTGAAGCTGTTGTGATTGCGGGTGTTGCTCGGCGAGATGTTCTGATAGTCGAAGAAGTTGCTGAACGAGTTGGCGATCTTGGAAGCGCTGCTGCTGAGCGGCATCTGCGAATGGTTGAGGAACGTATCCATGTGATCCTGTCCTTGCGAAAACCTGGAAGCGCCCAGGAACGACGAATGCAGATTCAGTGGACTGCTGCTCGGACTGAAGACGGTACGCGCCGCCCCCGGTATGTTGACGGGGGCGGAGCTGCGTAACATCCCAGCAGATGCCAATCCCACGGATATCGAATTCGATACCGACGGCGGTTCCGTGTCCAGCTCGGACAGATCCACGTCTATGTGAAGTTTCTCCAAGTTACCTAAACAGCAACAATTCAATTGAAACAAGTGTGTCGAGTGGAATGTGTCAAGAAGAACCACTAACCGACAGTGACGATACAATCGTTTCCGGTGTTGAAGAATGGCGGCCCAATACCGCTGTACGCCAGACAGAGCGTCTGCTTCTTCTGCTCTCTCTCTATTGCATCTATCAATAATAATGTTGATGATGATCAAATTAATTTAACATATTATATGATATAATACCTAAGTTGGGATCATTGTCGATGGCCAGAAGCTGCTTCGTCAATTCCAAGGTGCCAATCGTAGGCCGATGACAGTTCAAGGTTTTGTGTGTGAGTTGGGAACCGGGTGCCTTGCTGTGCGAACTGTTCGAACCCAACGACGACGTAGAAGCAGACTCTGATACTTCGCTGCTTCCATTCTAAAAATTAAAAGAGAAAAAATTAAGTTGTAGTTCTCGAATATATTACAGGCAGAAACTTACGCTGCTTTCGCTGCTCTTCTCCTTGCATTTATCCAATGAATGCGTCTGCGGCAGAGCGTTGGAGAGTAACTCTGCGAAATTGGTGCCCCCGTCCAGGGGACCGGCGTTCTCTCGGGAGACGCTCATCTCTTCTAAAATGAAAGCTACATTTTACATTACTCCCAAATACACACGCACACGCGCATTCAACAAACGTGTTTTTGTTTTTCATTACTCTTTCAAATTCTTCAACTGCAACTGGAGGTAACATAAACACACTCATAAGCACACACATACACAGGCATACAAATAGAGAGGAGACAGCAATTGTTGCTGGTCTTACGTTCGACGTGGGCGAAAGCGCAGAAAACACCCCTTGGGCAGTATCCAGCCTGCTGCACGTCGTTGCATTTCGTGCTCTTGTAGATCTCAGGGTGAAACTGCTGCTCGGTGCGGGTGTGGCAGTACGAGCAGAGATCACCGGAATCGCAATTGCCCGGCTCACCCCATTCCTCTCCGTGCTTCACGTTCGGACACGGCGTCGAACTGCGAAAACGAAAGCAAACGCGCGCACACACGGCCACGATAAGCGTCGTTATTTTTGAAACTGGACGAGCATATATCTCATAAAATAGCCAAAGTTGTATATCCAACATCATCATCATCATCATCGTGGTGGAGATAACATGTCATATCCGTCGCAACAATCTCTGCTCATCAAGACGATCTGCAGACACGCAAACACGCCAGACAAGCCTAACAAATAAGATCCGATGATATATATATAGAGAGATATACAATGCAGACAGATGACTTGATTAATTGAAGGAAATTATTCAATCGCTCACCGGTACTTGAATTTCCGAGGACTTCGCCGTTTGTCTTTGCTGTTGTGATACTGCGGACAGGCGTATCCCTGTCTGCAAAGTCTCGGCGGACGCTTGCAGGGTTCCGTCTTGTAATTGGACAGAACGTAATTGGTGTCCTGCCATTTGGGATCCTCGTTCATCAGATTCCGCTCCTTGTCGAGGGCGTTCGGACCGTTCGCAGAACCTCCTCCGTCGGCTTCGGACGCCTCGAGCGCTTGAATTTCCTTGATGTCGTACACTGGCGGCCTATGGTCCAGACTACCGTGAGCAAACGCGCAATGCAGCCCGTTCTTTACGCAGTATCCTCGGGAATCGGTGTCATGCACGCACATGCATGTCTTGTAGTATCTCAGGTGATATCTACGCTCCGTGTCTCCTGCGGTTCGATGCAAAAACGGACATCTACAAAATCAATATAGTCTTAGTAATATTAAAATTTCATTATGATACATCTACTTCAACTAACATTTCGTACTCAATCATTGATTTGAAATACGAATTTTGATAAGAAATCTTGTATAAAAGGAACATTTCATATTGGAAATAAATGCATGTCAACAAAGACCTGTCAAATTGACAGACGCGTCTGTTGCAGGAGCGGAAGTCAAAATTGAATTGGATCGAAAAGGGAAATGCGCGCATTACGCAACAACCTGCTCGGATTGCGCGCAATCACGGTAAACGAAATTCGGAACGCACAAGCGCTGAATGGAGACGGCGATTCGAATACACGCAAATATTTGGAAAGCTGCGATGCGTGACATAATAATTGCACGAATTTAGATTTCGTTTTCTCATGTTGTCATTTGTGCAATTGGATTACTAATAAGCTTTGGCTTTGGATGTCAGTGGCCTTTCGTATTATTATTATTATGATGATTCCTTTCTCTCTCTCTCTCTCTCTCTCACACGCATTGCAGCATATGGTTAAGGTAGGTTGGTGGGCGCCTATTCCATAACGCGTTGGAACGGCGCCCAAAACTATATTTTTGGCTCCAATTACGAGAGCGACAAGTGCAACATGTAAATACAGATAGAGAGGGCTATGATGTTTCAATGCGATTGTTTTTGTTTGCGTGTGCTGCGCGGTGAATCGAGGCGGCTGTGACACACAACGAGAAACGTCACACCCACCCACCGCCAATCGCGGTTCGCAACAACAAAACAAGAGCAGCTTGGCAAAAAAAAAATAAAATAAAAGAAGCCGAAGAAGATGACTCGATTCCGGAATGATTAATGAATGTTTATGTTACTTACTCGTCTCCGTCGGGGCAGATTCCCGTCGTCTCATCGTACTTGGTGCAATAATTGTCGGCGCTGTAGTTGAAGGTGCCGTCCCTTCGTCGGACCGGTCTTCGCCGACGCTGGTTCATGAAGTGCCAGTGGAAACAGGTGAAGGGTCGATGCTGGGTGCATTTGTGCTGCAGGAAAAGCGGGCATTGTTCGACGCGGAATTCCTTCAGATACCTACGACGACGAAAGTCGAACAACAGCAGCAGCAGCAAGAAAAAAAAAGATAAAATAAATAAAAGGATCAGATCAGAGATGATGATGATGCGATCGATCGATCGCAGATGGGACACACGATGCTGCGTCTCATCTGCAGTCGTCGGATGAATGCATTTTCGCAAATTTCTGCGGCACTTACGAGTAATGATTCGGTTTTTCCGTTTGAGCTGTCAACAAAGGTTTAGACTCTGACGGCATTTTGTAATCACTGGCGCGCACGCTGCCGACGCAGGGCACGCTCACACCGGGCCAATCCTCGGGCCCTATTTTGAATCACGTGACAGCCGTCGCTTCGCACTTTTTGATTTTTCAAGGACGTTTGTGTTTTGGTCAAAAAACCCGCTGTCTCCCCCCGCGCTCCCCACAACCAATCAACAAAGAGAAGAAAGATGATGAAGAAAAAGAACGAAAAAAAACAATTGCAACGATTGATGCGATTACGTGCGAAGGTGGCTATGATTAACGACGTCTATGGCCGACTACGATTTATGCTGTTGCTCAAAACAAAACCGATTCAAGATCTACGTTGGCTGCTGTCAACACGTCCATTGCCGAACAAATATACACACAAACACATATGCACCGTACAATTATGTACGAGCACAGAGACACTGAAGCTCGGAGGACAATTACATTGCATCGACTCGAAAATAGCAACGAAACCGGACCCGCATTCCGCGGAAACGCATAAACATTACACAATTGCAGTGAATAATAATAATGCACGGAACGATTGTATATGTATATATATATTAAAAAAAAAAACAACACGCACAACACACACTCTGACACTAGATTGGCGCAACGGTCTAGGCAACCCACCGGACGCGACTCCAATACGAATCGATCGACAATCTTATTGGAATTTCCCACATTAAATTACTTAAACGCAAAAAAAACCAAAGCACTCGCAATCACGTACACTCATTAACGTCGATTCGCACTCGACAATTGTCCATTGGAAAACGAACCAGAGAAAGTCGTCCAATTGATTTTACAGTGTAATTACGTGCCGCACGACACTTATCGACCGGAGAATGCAAGTGGTGCGCATATGCAACCAACCGATCGCGCACTCCATTTGATGCGCAACACATTTATATATATATACAGGGTGAAACACATGAATTAAAGGGGGGAAAGATTAAAAATCGAAATCGTTTAACTTGTAGACACTCAGTCTTAAATGCATCTTTATTTATTTATTTTATATATTTTTTTTCTTCTTTTGTTTTAAATTTCTCATATATATATATCTCATATAATTTATTTGTTTACGACTCTTCTCTTGTTTCTCCTTTTGTTTTTAAATTTGCAATTATCAAGTAATCAAGTTAAATTTAAATCTGTGGCAAAACTCAGAAAATATCATCAAACTGTTCATCAAATATTTTGCGAAATAACAAAAAAAAATTACGTACAACTCACGAAATGTATAAATCTATGTAATTACATATGTATATGAATGTATATATTTATAAAAAAACGAACGAATGGTTCTAAAAAGGGCTAAAAAAAGGTGATTTTTAATATTGCACTAGAAGAAATGAGGGAAGCGGAAGATTTAAATAAGATTTTAGTTGCTTTAGTTGTGATGGAAATGTGTTAAGAGGAAGAAAACGAAATGCGGAATAGAATCTAAAGTAATCACTATATGTACACTTATGACAAAACATAAATCTAAAACAAATGAAAGCTAAAAGAATTACGACATTCTTCTTTTGTTTTCCCCCATCGACGGAGGAGGAGGAGATGCGTGTATCATATATTTCGAGTTGCTTCGTGACTAGGCTTAACAACTTGTAACTATGCAACGAGTTTGCTCTTTGTTCGGCTTAAATTAAAAACAAAGAAAAATATTTAAAAGAAAAAAAAACGATCAGGGTGGTGCCTGGCTGGTGGTCGTAGTATCAGCGTGAGTACATTTTCCGTGTGTAAATGTTAATTAATGTTAAGTTGTAATGTTAAGAGTAAATCGCGATTTCGGTTTCGAAACGAAAACTAAGTACGAGAGAGGTCCAGAGTATTTTATAACTCATCTTAATCTTAATGGAATTGGCTAAATTCTGAGACGATTGCAGAGTTAACGCGGATCCTCCCTTAACGGAAATATCGAGCCTCTCCTTTCCTTTTATACATTATAGATTTGTTAATTCTACCTACACGAAACACAACGTTCTAATCGCACTCGATCAATTGGATAATCGTCAACAATTTTGTTAACATTACGCATAATATTATCGTTATGAACGTGGTTTCTTTTCTTTTCTCCAATCATTTACGTTCGATTCGGAAAAGAAAATTCGGACAATGCGTTTTCGCGCAGTGAAATGGAAACATTTTATAGATAGAGTACGTTTGCAGAAATCGAGCAGTAATCGAAAAGCTTGCAATAATTAATTAATGGTATAAGAGAGTCAACGATCCTGCATGATGGTTGGTTGGAAGGACGCAGCAGTTGCAGTTGCCATGACAAAGTTGTACGTTTCCTTGACGATCTTCGAGTATTAAATAATAACAAGAAAACTAAATACGATCATAATGGAAGTCTTACCTCCGGATATACAAATATTTGCGTATTGCTCATTTGTTGTTTTGTGCGAAGAATCAGCTAATCTCATCCTCAAACCTCGTCAGCATCATCTTCTTCTACTTCTTCACGTTCTCAAATTCACATCATCTTCATTTCCATCCAGAGTGCTGGCCAATACATAATAAATAATAATATGGCTCGTTCTCTTGTGTTTTTTTTCTTGCATCTACTTGAACGCGTGCAACTTGTCGTATTAGAAGTAGTATTAATAATAATAATAGTAGTATTAAAATCTTAATCTAGTAATAATAACTATATATGTATAATATACTTTTTTGCATCGTTTTCATCCAATCGCCGGAATTCATTGTCCTTTTGCTTTCTCTCTCTCTCTCTGTCTGCCTCCATATATATATCTCTGTCTCTCTCTCTCCTTTTAAATCGATTAAACAACGCGAAGCCCTTGCCGTACATCTTACGTCTCTGTCTATCACTCGTATTTCTATCTAATACAAAAATAGGATCTAACTTCATTTTCTCTCTTGGAATTATTACTTTCTTGATACCGAAAACGTTGAATATCGAAAAGCGTTTTCCCCTCGTTAAAACAACTGGGCGGAGACTAATTATTTGTTTTTGTTTTTTTTTGTTTTGTGGGTGGAGCGTCGTTGCTAATGTTGTTCTTGTTGTTTGTTCAATTCTTTTCTCTTTGTTCGTCTGCTGCTAGAGCTTAAGATCAAACTGTGGTGCCGTACGTGCTGAAGACGACGCGCGTGCTATCGCTGTCCAAAGTTACGTCTTCGGGACTTGCCAAATCCACTCGAACCGTCCCCGAATTGTTTCTCTTCCTCTGGCCCCAATTGCTGAGCGTCCAATGGTAGACGCCCTCGGAAGCGGGCGGAGCCTGCGTTGCTGCTGCTGCTGCCACCTCCTCGCTCGTCGCCACCATCGTGTTGGGCGTGTCCGGTGATTCAGAACTTGAGCTGGCTGTTTCGAAAGAGTCGACGACGCCGTTCCGAAACCGCACGATTCCTGAAAGAAGAAATGAAAATATTGATATTAGATTAATTATTTCGTGCATCTGTGATTGATGGTATCGTTAATATATACCACTATCGTCAGGCGACACGTGGCTCTCTTCTATACCCCGCAAGATGCTCTGGCACATCTCAGCTTCCAGCGGGATGGGATTTTCCGTGTCCCGATTGTAGATGGTCACGGCGATGTGAGCGGGATGCGGTACGGCCAACGGAATCACCATTTTATCGGGCGAGTACGGCTTCAGCTTTTTCTTCCAAGGCGTCCAAAGCGTTGTGTTTGTCCTCGATCCGGTGGCCAAAGAGTTGGAGGCGCTACTCGCTTCGTTCCTCTTCTCTGCATTCTTCTTCCCAGTCGCCGTTAATTTCGAGCGAGGATTGAAGGCGGACACCTCCAGGTACGGAGAGTGCACTTGGATGTTACCCCTGGGCGTGTAAACGTTGCCAAGGAGATCTGGACCGCCAGAACCCATCTGCGCCCTCTGCACCATCTCCGAGTATCTGCCGATGTCCGCGCCCGGATGCGGATCCAGCTTGAAACTGGTGTCGGTATGATCCAGAGGCGTCAGTATATCCAAACTGAACAACTCGGTGTAGAGGAGACTGCTCAGACCAGCCCAGTCGCCCACCGTTAAAGCCCTGCTATCCCAGAACTGCTCCTCGCTGCATCCCAACTTCGGTAGAATGTGCTTCGGATAGAATCGCTCGAGCATCAACGCGCCCTGCTGTATGGCTATTTTCAGTTCGTTCGTGGCCAATTTAATCTTACTCTTCACGCTTATGTTGAGGCCGGTCTGCAGGTCTCGTCTCCTTCGTTCCAGCTTCTCGTGCAGAACAGCGATCAGATCCTGCGCCTCCTTTTCGAGCACTTTGTACGGACCAGCTGGTTTGGCCAGTTGCGTGGAGAAACTGCCGAAGCACGCCTCCACGAATTGCGCAAAATCGCGCTGCGGCTGCAGGATCGTCGCCTCCATGATGCTCTGGTAGGCGGCCAACTCGTCCCATTCCATCTTCGCCTCGAAGGCGGCCAACGCCTGTTCGGGAGTAATTTGGAAGTAGTAGTCGGAGGCAAGACCGGGCCCGGCGATCCTTTTCACCACGAAGCTATCGCTCGCCGGAATTCTGCCGCGCTTCTTGATGATCGCATGGAATATTGCAGTGTCCCACAGCAAACGCAACCAATAACGAGTGATTCCACCTGTAATTTCAAGATGATATTTATATGAATTAATAATAGTTCATTCAGATCATACCTGTTAAGATGATGAGCGATATGATGGGGCACACGATGAAAGCCACGAGCAAAGCAAGAATCGGCTGGACGCAGCCCTGAAGACCGATATTCCATATGACTGCCTCGAATAAAACGAAGAAGCGATTTCGTCGCAGCTCCGGACTGTCCAGATCATAGATGAGTCCGTTGAAGATCTGCACGCCGAGCGTGAGGACGGGCATCCAGAGCATTGCGGTCATCGCGATGAAGAGGCAGTTGAGTGTGACGAGGATGGCTACGATTGGGAAGACCAGCACCAAACCTAAGGTGCCGAAGAGTCCTTTAAAGAAGTAATTCCACACGCGATTCGTGTGCCGCGTGAGACCTTTGCCTATGAAGCCGGTATCCGGTTTCGTTTCGAAATGGGTGCGCGACTTGGATATATGCCGCCATAGACTTATGAGCCGTGAGCAGAGGGTTGAGGTGAGGCTGCTCTTGCGCGGAAACAGAGTGCCGTTGACTTGCGACAACTCCAGATCGGGCATGAAGGGTTCCATGCAGAAGAGGGCGCGCACTCCGATCGGCGTACACCAGGGAATGAGGATGCCGAAGAAGAACATCGCGTTCCATGTCCAGCACCACGTGCGATGGAAGTAATTGAAGATCCGCCACAGAGGCCACCGCGTCGTCGTCGTCCTAACCATCTCCTTCTCCACCAAAAATACCTACAATGTACAAAACGTATATAAAAAGACGAAAAACTAAATGATTGAATGATTGCATACAGGTTGACTTGGATCGGAGCGTGGTGTGGTGATGCTGGTGGCCTGTTTGCTGAGGACGGTGGGAACCACTTCGGATTGCCCTTGGAAGTTACGACGGACGATCCAATTCGTGGGCAACCAAATCTGCGTTGGCCACAAGAAGTTTCGCGTCGGTTTTTTCACCTTCCGCAGCTCTCGCAGCAGCGCCGGTTCCCTCTTCAAAATATAAAATAAACTTATTGATAAAAATAATCGGACGACATTTGCTTACCTCTTTCATAAAAGCCAAGTCTCTGTTGAGGAAGTAAATAGTCTGATTGAGTTTCTGCCCGTGGCAGAGCGTGAGCGCCTCCTCGTGCGCGCTCCACTGATTTCCAATGCTGAACTTGAGCTCGGCCGTGTTCAATCTGGAACGTAACCATGGAGCGATCCTCGACAGAACCGGGTGCGCGCTGCACAGGCGACTTTTGACCATCTCCTGCGATTTGGACAACCTCCTCTGCACACTCTCCACGGCTTTATGCATTAGGACCACGCTCTGCGCCTGCTGCACCAGCAACTGGGCGATGCCCTCGCCGAGCAGCTGGATATCCGGGTGAGATAAAATGCTGTTGTAGACTCTCTGCAGATACTCCTTCATCACGGCCTCGTTGACTTCTCTCTCGATATCCTCGTCGGGCATCTTCTCCGCGCGCAACTCGGCGATGAGTCGTTCGCGGAAGTGCAGAAACCAGCCCCGAGTCTCTCGCTCGAGGATGGTGATCACATGTGGCAGAGCGCGCCTCATCAGCGTGCGATCCCATAGCCTCAGATCGAGCTCTGCACCGGCCGTCGTTAAATATCTGTACGGCACGGAGACAGGCGGTTGCGAGCACTCCCTCGTCACCTCAAACTTCTCGGTGGCCGCCCTCCTCAGCTGCTTCCGCACGTACGAACACAGAAGCTCCAGCGACTCCTCGTGCTCCGGCCTGCAGACCAGCTCCGCAACCAAGTATTTGCTGCGCTCCTCGCGGATCTTCGTATCGAGATTGTTCGCCTGCAAACTGGGAATTCCCACCAGAATGTCCAGAATCCTCAGGAATCCGGTCAAAAGTCCACGGAAAGCTTGCGAGACGCTGAAGAAGTGCGAAACCAATCGGTTGCGCGATGTAACGAACAGAAATCTCAGAGCCAACGCTAAATCGTTCAAAAGCGAATCCCGACTCCTCTCCGTCCCCTTCTGAAGCAGCTGCGAAAGCTTCCACTTGTGCTGCTGCCCAGGAAAATTCAAACTCTCCACGTCGAATTCACTGCAGAAGATATTACAATTAGTCCAATTAATAAAAAAAATAATAAAATTGAAAATATGAAACACGACAAAACTAAAGTAAATAAATAAATGTGAGGAAATCATTTCTAACATAACCACACACACATCATCATCGACACTCGTAACACATCACATACCCCTTGCGTCGGATGGAGTCTAGCTGTTGAAAGTTCAGCCTTTTCGGCTTCCCATATTTATCCTTGTGCAAGCTTTTCGTAAAGGAAATGTTCAATACATTAAAGCAATCATTTGTAACTTAAATCTAAAATTCTGGCTATACAACTAATAGCAAGCTAATGCGCTTATGCATATTTTCAAATAATAGAAATTCACTTTTGTAATTTGAAATAGAAAGGAGAGCATGAACATTTTCTTTTAATGTTATGCGTTTGGTATATAAAATGTAATAGTCTTACCCTCTTTCCCGTATGTATTCCAGCTGCTTTCCTGTAAGCTTGCGTGTCTCGCCTTTACTGTCCACGGCGACGGCGTCGAGCTCATCGAATGAAGGCGTGACGAAGAGATCGCGCAGGTGATGCTTGCATTTGTTCCGACCCAGAGAGCCGTCGGAGGTGACGTTGGACGTAGGAAACGAATCGCTTTGTGCGACCGGACTGGGCAGTACTGCAGAAGAAATAACGAGATTGATAATAACAAGTTACTTTTCTTGCATGAAAAACGTACTGATAGGAAAGGTTCTCCAATGGTACAAGAACTGCTCGGCGACTTGCTTAATGTTGTTCACGAGCTGCTCCACTTCCGGCGGCGCTCCGATCAAGTTCACGTCGAAGTTGATCGGCTCACGTTCCGGCTGAAGAGGTTCAGCAGGACCCTGCAGGATCGTCCCGTCGCTATTCCTCAACGGATAAAGAGACGTCGGCCTTGCACACGACGACTGCGATTCGTTCAGCACCTGCGACGAGCGGAATTCCATCCGATTCGAAACTGAAAAATAGACCAGTCACAACAATGATTCAGCAAAGACGAGATAAATTGCACTTACTTTGGGAGCTACCGCTGTCGGTACGTTCACGCTCGTGCACTCCCGACTTGGACCGATGATGACCGGGACGACGAGGCCCCGCCAACACCGCAGCCGCTGCTGCTGCTCCTCCATCGCCAGATTCGTAGCTCTGGGCGGAGCCTGGTCTGGGTCCGCCTCCCGACTCTGATCGTCGATGACCCTTCGCCCCGCCCCCCGAACTCGGTCTGCTGCTCATCTTCTCACAGCAGTAATAATATCCAGTCACCGTTTTTGTGTCGCATCTGAAATTTCAACCAAGAACATTTAATAAAAATTCCATCGCTGCAATTTGCATTCCTTTTCAGTCCCTTTTTTCTTTCTTTCTACAATACTACACACACACAAGTGGATATTTAATGCGCGCGTACACTCACATATGGATGAGTTATTCAATTACACTTCGCATCCTGTCCATTCGGGCTTAATAACATGTGAATGGACGACGTGCGCTTCCCATACATTCATCAACAGATGTTCACGACGTTTCAACAACACTACTTCTTGTCACAAAGTCGTTTGTTTTGACAATGAATACCATGGCAACAGTTACTAGCAGAATCCTTTCCGACTGAGTGCAACTAACGCACGTCTCCGCAAACGATAATTGTTTATTAACATATCCATGGCAACTGGAAACAAAGTTTACTTGTACGTAATCGAAGCGACAACGATTCTTTTCAGGTCGAATCGGTTTAATACCATTAATCGAATTAGTCTTACTTCGTAGTATACGAGCACTGCAAAAGTTTAATCTTCTATTTTCAAAAATTCAACTTACTTGACTTTATGAGTCGGCGATTCCATCTCGCTACGACCGTGGCGAATGCACAGGGAGACGAATAATTTATGCCATTTTCTTTCTTTACGCAAAACGCGAGATTACGAGATCTCCTCTCGATGACCGTGCTCACATGCGTATCGAATGTTTGCAAAGAAAAAGAGTGAGAAAGAAGCAAAGCTGTTCCATTTAATTCCCCTTAGAATTTAGCTCTTTCTCTCTCTCTCTCTCATCTTTGTTTGTTTGTGAGTCGGTTGTGCACGTCTCAGGAAGCAGCTCAAAGTTGCGTGAATCTCGTAAAGAGATCGGAAGAACATAATACCGTTTCTAGTTTCCATCTCAAGGAAAAACGAATTGATGAATGCTTTCCGTTTAAATGTCACGCTATAAACAAAATATAGATGGTACAATTTGCCAATCTTAACTCTAAAAGATGAAAAGAAATCAAGTCTCAATATAGCAATTACGTTAGGAGGAAATGATAGAAATAGTTGCCTTGAACTTACGAAGCGAATCGTCAATTGACTTTAATTCAATGTAAATGCTACTTGATGTTAGAGCACACGAAAAAAAAAAGAAGAGTTCAAATGTTTAAAGTGTAACCATGGAGACTGGTATGAAATTGGAGTGGAAAATGTGCTCAATCTATGTAGATTGATCGATTCGACACTTGACACCCATTTCTTTTGTTTCTTTCACGTTCCTAAGATATAACGGATCATAGGCGCAGTAGAGTAATATAACAGCAACAACCAAAGTTACGGTCACTGTTAAAACTCTTCCTCTCTACTCCTCAGCCGATGTCTGTTCGGTTTATAAACGGCATGACACATGTCAAAAGTATGCGGAGAGCGTGAATCAGCTGATCATATGGGTCGCCGCTGCCTGCCTGCTTCATCATCATCATCATCATCAAATTCTTTTTTATTTTTCATCTCTTCGCATTCTTTCTTTATTCTTCTCGTACAAGAAAACAAAAATCAAAACAAAAGAACGCTTTTGACATTTCCGAAAGGAGGATAAGACGATAGCCCGATTCGTTCGCTTTGAAACTTTGATGTGAATTACACATGTTAGTAAACACTCGAAGCACAAAAATTGGAGAGAATGTATACAAATCGAAACTGATAAATTACAATTTTCTTATCCCGTTCCAATTGTGAAGTAATAACCGATAATGAAGCAAAATATCGATGATAACCAGGAGATTTGATTGTAAAAGCAAGTGTATATATGAATATATAGCAAATCCTATTGGAATATTTGTCATATTCCAATAGGATTTGCTCAAGTTATCGGTATTAACGGAGAATGTATGTTTGGTTTATGCGTGTGTGTAAACATGTAGTACACGCTCCCGCGACCTACGACAAGGAAACGATTTAAATAAATGGTAGCAACAAATTGGAACAATTTTGGTTTCGCGTTTCAGTCAGTTTTAATCTTGGCGATCCGCAATTAATAATAGTTGGCGCCTCTCTCTTTGCGAATTCAATTGTTGAAATAATTAGCGTGAATTGGTGCTGGAATTCGCGCTTCGAATTAGCGAACCGCCACCAAAGTACACTCGCACGTATAAATATAACGTGTGTATTTTTATATTTATATATATACTTTTTTTTTTAGAATTTGGTTCACTTACCATTAATGGGGTGTCCCATCGAGGATAGTGCCGTCCTGGCGGTGGCGGCGCTTCGATTTCATTCCCCGCACACACACATCGACGACGACTACTACCACCACTATATACTTCTGTGTTATATGTATGCACGTACTATGTGGAAAAGGGTGTAAAGAGGATCGAGAGAAGAGCACGCGAAGCTCGAGGAGGGATGATGCGGCTGCAAAACTAATTGGGGTTGGTTGGCACGATCGAAGTGGCTGATGATTATTAACTAATGTTCGAACGATAAGAACATAATCATCATCATCATCGCGATGCACTCTTCTCTTCTCTTTCTCCTCCACTCAATCAAACTCGGACGCTCGCGGTTAGCCAGCTAAAACTAGGTTTGCGTCACTATGCGACTGACTCTGGGTAGGGGGGCCCCGCACGGTGCACGCACGCACGCACCTTACAGCCACCTATATCAGACTATTACTTTGATTGCTACCGTTCACTGCCGTCGATGGATCCATGTACTTTGCGTTGCATTCCACCAAACCGACACACAGCATCTACTACTACACCCACGACATCCGCGCTACCTGTCGGGAGCATCCTCCACCACCACATCCTGCAACAGCTCCGCCGGGTATACAGCCCAAAACACACCATCTACAATTAGAATATTCTCTTCGTTATTATTCTCGTCATTGCATTTACATAACAGAGATCACGAACAGTCGCACATTCATCTACATTTAGATTACATATACACACACACAAATATACACATATCTTAAACCTAATTACATCGAGGTGAAGGCTTCGCATCCTTTCGCTTCAAAAGTCGAGCTTGAGCTGAGAGACGCACAGCAAGTGGTCGTAGAAAGAGCAGGAGGCTATGACGATGTCCTCGTCGACGGTGGCGTGACGCCAGTCCACGCCGTAAGCAATTTTCTCGTGGTCGTAGAAGCTTTCCACGACGTTCGGACGATCCTTGCACTCCAGCACGTGGACTCCACCCAACATGCACGCAGCGAGCAGATGGTTTCCAACGTACGGATCCCATTTCAATCGCCACATCGTGCCCGGCATCTTCGTCTCCCTCAGCGGACTCTTGAAATGCCTCATGTCCCATATTTTTACGCTCTCGTCGTAACTGTATATAAAATAAAGTAAAAAATAAGCTTCAATCGCTCAATAATTTTAAACTCAAAATACCTTCCGCTAGCCACGATGAACTCTAGGAACGGATTGGAATGTATACAAGTCACGCCTGCTAAATGACTTCGATTCTTGATCACCGGCTCCAAACCGCTCCTCGCGTCGAACATCAGCAAATACGAATCATCTCCACCTGCAAATCAATGGATTCCAATAAGAATCTTAAGAAACCAAAACTTGCATTACCTGTGTAAAATATGTTTGTGTCCCAGTAGTAGAAAGCAGCAATCCAAGCCTCGTACTTGTGCGCCTTGTACGTCTGGATTTTCTCCAGAACATTATTGTATGTGTAGCTGTGTGCGTAACCATTGGAATCTGATGTTATGATCTTAGGGTTGTCCTGTTTCACCCCCGTAGACCAATCCAGAGAGAGCATCAGCGTTTCCTTCCCCTCAGTCTTTGAAGTCTGCGTATCAATAAGCTCCAACTTTTCATCGGTGAGCTTGTAGATGATCAGAGAGCCCATAGCGTCGACGGCCCCCAAAACCGGAACCCCGTTCAAAGCGACGTGACACCATTTCAAATCCAATATAGCCGCCGTCCGTATGCACTGCTTCAGCGCCAACTCTTTACCTTCCAAGCAGAAGAGCATGATGCGTCCGAATCGAGTGTTCCTCGGCGATTCAGCTAATTGCAAATAATGAATTGTATTAATTTCTGTTTACATTTTGATGGTGGTTGTTTGTGAGCCTTACGTGGTGCGCACTCGGTGACCAGCTCCTCCAGCTGGTAGTTGGCGCACACGAAGTAGTTGCGGTAGGGCTCGATCGGGCACCACTCCACCGAGTCAGCGTTGTACTCGGTGTCATATCTGTGGAGGACCTGCAGGTGCCTGGGCGGGAACTTCTGCTTCGTGTTCAAATCCTCGCACATCTCTTCGTCGAACGACTTAAAAACCAATAGCAACAGACGCGCAGGTTATGTTTTCGCTTGTTTTAAACCTGTTGCGCAGGGCTACCAAAACGCGGCCGCTCCTCGAACGCGAACAGAAATAATAATAATGATGATGATGAACCGGCGAACATATTCAGACGCGAGATCAATAATTGCACCCTTTCGCTGACCTCTCTTAACTGCACATGCACAGTGCGATTCGGGCGTTGTTACCTGACAAATTTCACACTGAGAGCACTAAAATTACGACCAAACACGTAATTACAACAAAACAAATGATTGTTTATTGGTAAAATAACAAACAAACAGATGAAACGACAATACCAACGGTTGTTAGGAAAACATCACCCGATTTAAACATTTGAAACAATTTTAAAATTTTCTCGCTTCACGTTGGCATCGCTTTGTGACCAACTTCACGCCTTCTTTTGGCACGTGCGGTCGCCGTATTTACCATTATTTTAGGTTACTTTTAGTGATTGAATTGACGAGCGAGGATGGATGTGGTAGCCGAAATTTTGGAGAGAACCGCCAAAGATGCGGAGAAATTTAAACCCATCCACGTTAAGAAGCACCTGGAATTGGAATACGACGTGGGCTCTCTCCTCGCCGTTGACATCAACGATTTAGACGCAAAACTAATCAAGTAAGTCATATTAAATTGCAAATTAATTTCACCCACAAAGAGATGAACACTTGTTTACTTTTGTTGTTGCTGTTGTTTTTAGTAAAGAGAAGAATGATTACATCAAGAATCTGACGAGGGACAACATTCAGCTTCTCATAAACCAGATATGGCAGTTACCGACGGAACGCGTGGACGATGCTGTCGTGGTGAAACTGCCCAATGCAAAGACACTGCTGCCCAGATCGTTGCCAGTGCCGAAGGAAAAGACTTTGACCAAATGGGAGAGCTTCGCCAAGGAGAAGGGCATCAGAAAGTCGAACAAAGCTAAGGTGCATTGGGATGAGGAGCTCAAGGAATGGATTCCAGAGTACGGTTACAAGAGGGCGGCAGCTGAAAGGGAGAAGGATTGGGTGATCGAGGTTCCCGGAAACGCTGATCCGTACGAGGATCAGTTTGCAAAGAAGAAGCAGGCTAAAGTTGAGAGAGTCGCTAAGAACGAGTTCCAGAGGTTGAGGAATATCGCCAAGGCCAAGAACATCAAAATCCCCAAGATGGGTGTTGTCAATCCGGACATGGCCAATTCGAAAGACGTAATATCCCTTTTGTCTACCTGATTTGTAATTATACTTATCGTTGTTATATCTTTATTGCAGCTGGTGACTGCCATCACAGTTGCCAAATCATCGACGGCGAGTGTTGGAAAATTCCAGTCTTCACTGCCGAAGGAGAAGGAGGCTCGCGGTGTTGCCGACATAACACCTGGTGCGAAGAGGAAGAGAAAGATGCCGGTCGTTCCGTCGATGCAGGAGAGGAGCGAGAATCTGGCGATAATCGATTCGGTGCTCAACAAGAAGCCGAAACTCGATGTGACCAAGGCCCTCTCGAAACATTTGTACAAAGAGCAAGAGATGTTGTAAGTGGATCGACATCACTGAAGAGGAGATTGAATGTGTGTGTTAATGTTTTAATTTTCTTTGTTATGCAGACACGAGGAACCTTCATCAAAGAAACCGAGGGCTGGCAAACGCGGCAAGAAGAAGGGCGGTAACCCGGTGGCCGCACCGAAGGGTGGAAAGAAGCCGAAGAGCGGCAAGGGCGTTCACAAGGCGTCCGGCAACGTGGGCAGGAAGCGACGTTAAGGTGGGCCTATCTCTAGAATTAACGTAATTTATCGTCGAAAAAGAGACTTGGCGTGTACATAAATTTTTAAGGTAAGTGGATTAGTCTGTGATGGTGGATAATATATATCGTGCACATCACTTGTGGTACTCCCATCCGAGCTCGGGGTTTTTGGAGACCGCCATGTAGACGAGCGCACCTCGTCCGGGCATCGGCTTCACCGCCACGTACGTCCTTCGATCGGGGCTCCAACGGCTCATGTAACTCTTGCCCGGCATCTTGTCACCAATTGCCCCGTGCTGCAAACAACAAACAATCAATTAATTCCACGTTTCTCTCTCTTTGTCCAACAGATTACTATTATTAGATGTAAGACGTATAAGATGGCAAACCAACATACCTTCTCGCTGATTTGCGGATATCCGTGATGGTGATGCGGGGCGTCGTCGATGCCTTTATGGAGGACGGTCAACATGTACTTGAAGAACTGGTTGCGGTTCTTCTTCACGCTCGGATCGGTCGACTTCAGATCGCACAACTTCGCAATCCACTTGCTGCAAATCTCGCGATCTACAAACATCAACAACAACAATAATAGTGGTTATTTTTATAACAGGGACTGACACACAAAAAAAAGTGATTGATTAAAAATAATAATACTCTATGCGCATTTCTTAAACCAGCGAGAAATTCGATTTTAGAGTATGGTTTTTGTATTTAATAAGTGTTAGATAGTAGAATAATTTTCTAATAAATCGATATTACGTATTCACGTCGTTTCATTACCTTGCTTCCTTTTGAGCTGCACGATGAGATTCTTGGCGAGCTGCAGATTCCTGTTGAACTCTTCATCGTAACAGTCGAGTGCCGGGTTGGAGGTCAAGTTGATGGTTTGCGCTAACGCCATCGTGTAGCAACACGCACTTCAAGTAAATCTTCGTCAGAAGCAGCTGCCGCCAAGCATTTCACCGGAAATTTTCGTCTGACAGGATATAACAAAAAAATAAATACACACATCATCGCCATGGCGAAAACATGGAAATTATGCATTTCTCAATTTTTGGCAGTCGGTCGTGCTTTTCCCAATTTTAATCCTTTCCTTTTATCCTTCGGGCTTTTGTTGTTTTTTTTTCTTCCTCGAGAAATTTACAGTGATGGGCGCGAGCATCCGCAATTTGGGGGCGGCGCCCGACCTCCAACTGGAGGGGGTTCTGATCCGCCCATTGAAAATCCCACCGGATCTGCCGCCGACTGAAGACTGGCACAGAGACATGTCGCCGTCCGACCGCCTCCACTATCATCAGACTCTGAGCAGCGTCCGACGTTACGCACATTTCAAACCGATCCCGTAAGTCTGTTGTTCTGTTTCTTCGTTCTTTCTGTTTGATCGATGCTGAACGCGGCGAACAAATCGAATCATCGGTTGCAGCGGTATCATCCCGTTGGACGCTCTGGACCTGGTGCTCGGCGCCAAATACGATCAAGGCGTCGACCTCTTCGGCGAGAAGATCGATGTTGTCCTGCAGGGCAGCACGATGGGCACCGATCGGAGGGCCAAGATGCGCAACACTCTGGAGCTGAAGGCGGCCAAAGATGCCATCGGTATAGCGCATCTGGAGGCGATGGAGACGAAGTCGCGTCGGTCGCCGTTCTTCACCGATTTCACTGGCTCCGCCTTCGGACCTGTCGTCGCGCTCGACAACTTCCGCAAGGTCAAGGACAACAAACTCGAGCACAACTACAACAAAGTGAGATTTCGTTTATAACGAAAGAAAACGAAACATAGTAGTAATAATAATAAAATCCACTTGCCTCGTTCATTTCCAGCATCACGTGCTGTACGTGGGCGGCATCTCCGAGAAGCGGCATCCCTGCAACGTGAAACTCATGAACTCCTCGCACCATTCGCCGCAGACCAACGCCGGCTATTCGCGACAAGATAGAGACGGAAATTCCTATCAGTATTGATTCGTACAACAAATTAATCATTGTATTTATAAGCTTAAATCTAAATATAGTATTTTAATACCAATTCTATATATTACCTTTCTTTTACTTTAAACTTTTCCTTTTACCTGAAATACAAATGAACAAGTATATATAAATTGTAAAACCATAATGTAAGCATGATTGCATACGTTAAACGCAAAATGTGAAAAAATCTCGTAATTGCCACTAATTAAGTTTAGCGCTAACGCTCTTGTTCCTTCCTCTTGTTGATTATTGTTATTACCGTTGAGTATGTTTTTTTTTTGTTGTTTTGTATTAATTAGTATTGAACAATCAGAGTGTGAACCATTAGCGAGCGCGCACATGAAATACAATTAATGTACATGCGTCTCTCCCGTTCCAAAACAGCATAAATACATACATAAATAAATAAACGCTTCAACCGACAAAATATGTGCAATATAATTAATATATAGTTTTGTAAAATTCTATTTCTAGATGGCGCATTGCGTAATTCATCTGCGGTGTAGGCAACTTAAAGTCATTAAATTAATTTTGTCATTTGTATCAATTTTGTTTGTTTTGTCGCTTGTGCCAAATCGGTTTCTTCGCTTGATATCCGGAATGCGAGAACGACCGGAAGCGAGGCCATTTCCGGCAGCATGAGGGATTTCCGCGGCGATAGGGAGGACGCGGGTACGTGTGGTGTGCGGTGTAGCAGCCGAGTAGAACGAAACACAAAAAAAATAATGCCCAATTAAGAGCGAGCGCAATAATTAATAAAATCGCAGATGCAAGAAGAGAGTGAGAGAGAGGAAGGAAACGGATTCGTAATCGCGAGAAAAACGAGCATAACTATATATAATAATTGAATCGGCGAGTTATGAAATTACTAATTAATTAACGTTCGCGTGTACACACGCATTACATATTTTAATAAGACTCAACGTATTACATTTTTTTTTCAGTTGAATTTACGTTAATTAAACGATGGTCGGTCGTCCCGCTGGGATCGCTCCTGCGTCCGATTACAATTAGAGAACCGTTGTTTCTTCAACTTTTTGTTTGTTTTTTTGTGTGACGTTTCGAAACCTTAAATTGCTTAATTGCTGTTTTTTATTGCTACCGCTTTTCGGTCGGTCCACCGTGTTCGTCTTTCCGTTCTACTAAGTTTCCAAAAGAAATAAAATATTTATACGGGGAAATGGATTATCCTCTATTGCGTCCGTAATTCTCTTAATTGGAGTTCGTTAATTGCTCGCCGACGATGTTACATTTATTTGTTTATCGTGCGGCACGGCCCCCTCTTGTTTTTTTTTTGGTTTAATTTTACTGCACGTATGCGAGAGGAAGCTCGAAAAAGCGAGTAATTGACGCGCATTGATGACTGCACGAAACGCTCAATTCATTTGCATTTCGGCGTGCTGGGAATATCTTCTAAATTGGAACGGATTCGGAAAACTTACGTGTGTTCTATTGATTCGCGCAATCGATATTTCCATGTTCATGTTCAACTGCTGCAAAACAAGCAACAAAAGAAAAAAAAAGCGTTATTATTTGTTTGTTAGAAAAAAACTTTTACAAGAATGTTCCTCTTTCTAACTGCAACAGGGGAATTTCTTTTGCAACTTTTACCATGTCCAAACAGCAATTAAAACCGATTACATCCAGGTTTACGACTCGAGCTAGTTCGCGTTCTGAAAGCCGCGGCTCGGAAAAATGCGTGGCGTCTGGCCGTGAAACAAAAGGATTCGAAATGAAAGAAGGATCCGACGCAGCGCGGCGCGATGATATTTATTAGCGCTGGAAAGTTCATTGGCGCAAACATCGACCATGACCAATTAAGAAACGCTCCGAGACGAGCGAACAACAAACGTAACTAACCTAAACAACCGGCTAAGTGCATTTTCTAATACCGCATATGCATTTTCGATGATCGTTGCGTTAATTACGAATGAATTCCTTGTATTTTATGAATGCGTTCGATAGGAGTATGCATGTATGTTTCAGAGATGGACGGATCTAGGATGAGTAGAAATTACCTGCGCGAGATGGAGGAGAAAATTTTCCACGTCAAGATGAAATCCAATCGGTTTCCGGATGAGCTGCTGCGGCAACTGAGCGAGCACGAGCGTATTCAGGCTGGCCGGAAAACGGAAATCTCGGACCGGAAGAGGAGGCCGCGCGGCTCCGAGCACCTCTTCAACGCCGATTATAACTTTCGCGGATCGAATTACTCGACTCTGGGAAGATCTCTGCTGGAGAGCATCCGCACGAGGGTGTTCGGATTCAAGCCCCTGGAAAATAGATACGACGAGGGTAATCATTATATGTAGATTATCAACTTTTGAATTGTCGAATATTTACGTGCAGGCGAATGGAAATGCGATAGCAGAAATATTGATGAACTGAGGTTACCGAAGGAGACGAGGCACGCCATCCAGCAGCACGGATCCAGGATGTGCCTGAATTGCAGCAGGAAGTCGAGGAACGTGCGGAACACGGAGGCGCAGACGAGTCCCGTCAATTCGGTGACGAAAATTGGGACGAAGGAGAGGAGATCGGCGATTCCGTGTCCTTTGAATCTCCTCTGCGATCGCGGCATTCATCTGGGAAAATGCGAGCCGAACGTGAGAAGGAAGATCCATTCGCCGCCGGCCTGCGATCACAGCTGCACCTGCAGAAAAAGTCTGTATTAATAAACGAAGAATTCGTTCGGAAACGTTCACCTGTTAATTTTCCAGGTGGAATTATATCGAAGCATCCGGGGAAGGCGGAAAAGGTTCTGGACGGAGACGCGGAGCTGCGCGAGAGTACATCTCTGGAAACTATACTGAAGCTGATGGAGCCGCTGTCCATCGTCAATTCCGAGTATCCACCTCCGAAATCGCCGAAGCGTAAGTGAAATTGCCTAGGTCCGTCTGAAACAAAGAAAGAGTCATCTGGTGTTTGTTGTATGTTCTTGCTAATTTTCCATTCGGTTTGCGTTACACATGTACCATCTCTTGAACATTCATTGTTCTGGAACGAGAAGAGATGTAGAGAAAGAGAAATGCCCGAGGTGCGAATGGACATTATGTGTGGCATACATGTATGTATGTACGTATGTAAATGCGAGGGTCTTTTTATTTCGAGTTTCGCGATTGGAAACTTCTTCCTATGTCCGCCACGCTCTGGTTTGCACGAATCAGAACAATATCTTCAACTTCTCGAGATCTTCCGCCGCGATCTTTTGAGACGCACACGCATTATTAATGTTTCGAAACAAGATTAAATTGCAGCCTAATTGCCCCGTTTGCATATCATTTGCATTTGATTTAAGTTGCTATTAAATTTCGATCAAATCAAATCTAATCCAATTCTGAATAACAAATTAATCGAGCGCGCGCTGCGATATTCCGTGATTCGAGTATTTTATCGGATCGGTCGCATGGAAACGGTACAAACAATCGAAACAAACGATAGAAATAAAAATTGAATAAACAAACAAAATCGAACAATTGAAAACGAAACAAACGAGAGTGCTAATCGATAAGTCGCGCAATAATTGGTGCGCGTTTGGTGAGTCGCAGCCGATAATTCGAACGCGGAAACTGACAATGAAACAAACGAATGTTGTTCCCATAGACGAATAACAACCGAAAACAGAACAAACAAATAAACAATGGACCGATATACGTGCTATTTCTTTTATGTATCTATTAATTCGTGATTAACGTTCTCGTCGTGCGCTTTTATGGATGAAATACCGAACACTAATCGCGTATAAATTTACTGCATTTTATTGCATTTCCTAATCCCATTTTGCGCACGCTATAACGCTATTTCAGTTTCTTAATTTGTTTGAACCATCGAAAATCGTGATTATTAAAGCAATTGGAACGTGATTCTTCTTTCAGACAAATTGAATTTGACGTTAAATTTAACAAACAAATTTAACAGACAAATCAAAGTAGGCCTTTTTCTTTTGGTGATTGGAAACAGAAGAAGTGTTTCGAATTTTCGTTGTTTTCCAATTGGTGGGGTCGAACGGGGCGAGGGACGCCCCCACTTTTTTTGTTGTTGTTGTTGCGACGGCGTCGTCGTATAAGAGGACGAGTCCTGGCGAGGAAGCGCGCAGTTTCAGTCGCGATCCGCATCTGGTTTGGTGTGTTTGGTCTTCGCTTCTTCTTCGACTCTTCATATATATTTGGTAGAAAAGGATTGAAAAGAAGATTGAAGAGAAAGAGAGAGTGCGCGAGTGAAGAGAACATACAATAACAACCCTCCACAAACATACACGAAACGCTACCGATTTTCTTTGTTTGGAAGAAGAACAGGCTGAATTAACATAACAGAAGAAGAAAAGTTACCGGAAGCACCGAAGACGGCAAGGAACGTTACGAAATTGATTAATAATTGAATTGCCGGTGAGTGTTGATTTGGGTTCTTTTAAAAAATTTCAGTTTTTGGTGTGAATGAATGAATGTAGGAGAAAGAAGTGGAATCGAATTGGAATTGTTAAAAAACATAATGTAAAAACGATAAGATTAGCCTAGTCGTATTCAAATTGCCCGCATTTTGAGATATTTCAAGAGTATCTTTTGTTTTTTTCTAAGGGATGTTGATGATTCACGCTCGATATTCCATCCCCTTCTATTATCCGTGAGTCTCCCTTTTCCACCCTTGCATGTCGAGTGCATTCGTACATTTCCTGTCTCTCTCTCTCTCTTTTTCGCTTGATCTACGTGTTTCGGGCGTGTGAGTCAGACAGAACCAAAGCCCCTTCGACCGTAAAACGAGACCTCCTCTTTGCATTTAATTTCATGAATTCGATCGAAAACTGAAATTCAGATTATAACTTCTTAACGTTGCTATTTTGTGTTGTTGGTTGGATATTTTTTTATGCTGCGAAGTTATCGCGCGCGCCTTGGTAACCATCGGTAACTTCGGTTCGGCCACAGTGACTAAGCGTGATAAGTGAGACACGAAACCGCGAAGTAATTAATTCAATTGGATGCATTTTAGTAGAGTCGAGTCCCCGTCGTATACATGCGTGCTCGCGATTTAAGCAATTAGCCTCAGCAGTCTGGATTTGTTGAGTAATTAAATGTTTCCGAGATTCTCTCGCAATTGTTCATGTTCGCTTCATGCAATCGATACTCTCTTTCCTTTTGCATGTGTATGAATATATGCATACACATAAATGTTTTTTTTTTGTTATCACTCAACGCTCCTTCTGTTCGCCTATTGTTTGTCCGCCTCCCCCTGATGGATTACGAATGAATAATTCAAGCTAAACGTTATCGCAAGCTGATGTTGATGTTGCCCCGTTTATCGTCGTTTTCGACTCCACTTACCAACAAGCACAAACGAGCGATTGTTCGCCCCGTTGTTGCTATCATCTCTTCGCCACTTGATTAATAGCAGCGGTAATAATAGATCGTTGTTTCTTTCTTTCTTCCTATCGCAAAGGATTAGAGAATTTATCGAAGAGGTCGTCTTCTCCTTGGTCTTGGTCGTCGTGTGTGGCGTGGAGTCTTCGATTTTTCTGCTGCGGCGAAGCAGCAACGTTCAACGCCCTCGCGGTGCCCCGGGCTCTAACCCTCAAGGTCGCAGCTTTATCCGCGCGCACTCCTCCGCTCTCCCCCTCGATGGGGGAAACGAACGAAGAAAGACCAAGAGAAATGGAAAAGTACGGAGCGAGATGCGATCCCACAATTTCTATATTTGCATCTCTTCTCTTGTCCTGATTTATTTTTAAAGCGAGCCTCCCGAAGCCTCGGTGGATGATGGGTCTAAGTTTAAAAACTGGAAATAGAAGAAATATTACTTTGCAACCCTTAAAATATTTATTTATATATATATTTCTTACGTTCTGTTTCCAACGACCGGCGGTCTCTCGTTTCGTTCTCGTTTTTCAAGCAACTGCAATCAAAATTCACACTGAATTAAGATGGAATTTCTTCTTCACGGATTATTAATTACACTTTGGTCCATTCCATTTAATCGATGGAGGTTATGGACCTCGTTACCTAGGAAACGTTTGCAGCAGCAGCAGCATTTCACCAATAAGGAGAGGAGCAATCAAATTTGATTTGAATGTCCTAATTGGCGTCGGCATCTGCTCAAAATTAATCATTCGGATTAGAAAACTCGAGAGCAACTCGTGCAAAATAACAAAATTATACGGATGTTTCGTACATCTGTTTATCGATTTGTACATGCATTAGAGTAATCGTTCCTTATTTTGTTTCGATATGAACTTTCCACTCAGCAATTTCCATTTATTCAGGAAAGATCGATTCGATTGGCAATTAAACCTCGTTGGCAAATATTATCGATCGATCGATCGTTTTTCACGTTTTCATTTCCGCCGATGCTCGTTTACTTTCCAATCGTTTAAATGTTCTGCTCCAGATCACATTTCTAAATAATTATAAAATAAAAGTGTTTTGAAAATTATGAATCGGTTCCGGCGAAATTCATTCCCCCCCCCAGGCGTATTTCGTTGCCCTTTATACCTGGGGGAGAGCCGTTGCCGTGGAAACGGCGTTGCGTGGCGACTCGGCCAGGCGTTTTGTTATTGACCTAGCCCGATCATCATGCCACACCATGGCACGCCGGGCGTTGTTTGGTTTGGCCTTTCTCGCTCGATCCGTCGATCCCTCCACTCCTTTGGTCTCTCTTCGCTCTCTTCCTCTTTCTCGCTTTTGTGTAGTCCTTCGTCTGCCTTGCTATGCCATATTGGCACGAATGCCATGGTTACCGCTAGCTGCGGCTGCTTCTGCTTCTCGCCGTGCCTTTGGAACGCGCTCACACTCGCATTCAAAACGCAGCAGGAAACGGTTTGAATATTGATTCAGTTTAGGCCTCTTTCGCATTTGAATACAATGCCCTAACAGGCTGTGCGCGCGCCCTCCTCACCATCACCATCAACATCCTTCGCCTCCTCCATTGCAACCTCCTTTCCTCCATCTGATTCCACCGTGTGAATTGGAAAAAAAAGTTCCATTTCTTTTTTTGTTCGCTCGTTATTACATTCCAGAATCTCCGTTGCTGCAAACAATGAATTATTATTAAAATACATGAATTATAATCGACTATGAAATTTTAAGTAATTTAATGTTACTTATGGCTAGCAAATCAAAGAATAACGCATGTCTCTCTCTCATTGTTCGCGTTCAATTAATGTTTGAGAATTACTGTTAGGTAAAGACGTTACATATGCGCACAACAAAAGTAAACGAAGAGATTAAACCCGAAAACGAATTCAAATGCAATAAAAATTCTTGTACTCATAACTGTACTCATCATCTCTTTCCCTCTGTCTCGCTCGCTCCCATCTCTTATTTAATGTTGCTCTGCGATGTGAACGCAAGACGGATATGCCCGTTGCCACTTAATCGACGAACAAAAGTTTACCATAATAAGAATGCGAGTGGCAACAATAATTTGGATGGAAGTTCGCGTTCCCAAAAATAATTGGAATTAAACCACTCAAATACGGACGCGAAACGGATGAAGAATCTAGCGAGAATTCCTGATTTTCCGGAAGAATTCACACGGACCGTAGAAAAGGCGAAATTCGCGATTCCAATTAACGTTCTTAATTACCAGCAATTGTAAATTTCATCGAAATTGAAATAAAAGTTAATCCTCGATTTAACGTAACATAATTATGGTTTCAATGGTAAACCCTGTTTTGGAATTTACTTAGTACAATTTAATTGATGAAAAGTCGTGTACTTGTAGCAGATATCGGTTGGTTTAGTGAATGCGAAACTTCTGAAATTCCATACCATTTGCGGTTTTGGAATTATATGTGCAAAAGCGAGAGAAACCGAGCTAAACAAAAGAGGATAAAACGTTCCATCGTGAAGGGGAAAAATATTGTCGCCACATGTTTCCGGCGACGCAAACCCGAATGCAAATGGGATCGAATGCTATAAGGCTCAAGGTCGAACCAAAAAGAAAGAAAGAACTTTACAGAAATCAAGTCTGTCAGTATTGAGGGAAAGTGTTTGGAGAATATTGTGGCATAGAAGAGGGTGAGATGTGTCAAATGGGTGTTTGTGAATGGGATGAGCGTGGGTGGATGATTTCCGTTTAGGTACACTCTCGCTTTCGTCAACCCTCGCATCGCCAGACGTACGTACAGGCAACCAACCCTCCTCCAGAAACAACCCACCCATACAGCCAGCCAACGTTGTTATTGATTTGGAATGCCAGACGGAACCCGATTCACACCCGCACAATCCCAAAATTCGTGGCTCCAGAAAATGCTGAATTTAATTTTCCGATCGACCGAGTCCGCGTCTATTGTCCGTTCATCTCTCGCGCAATGTGGGTAGAGATTCGAAAGGCGCGACTGTTGCGGTTTCTGCACAGTCGATGGACGGAGGAGGAAGGGTGGTTAGGAAATCAATCGTCGTTTGAAATTTAATTTTCCTGCGGTCTACCGCATAGCAGACAATGCAGAAAGGCCGGAGGTGGTCGTCTTGTTGTTGTTGATGTTGATGAGAAGAAAGAATCTCGTTTTCTTCATCCTATTTTCAACCCGTCGCGTCTTTGTCTCCGTCGTTTCAATTGAAATACAATAAAAAATAAATAAATAAAGGAAAACAAATTGGAGAAGTTGTTGCGCGCAGACGACGACTACAATGCCTCCGAATGGGAAAGGTGGAGAGACGCGTACGTGACTGCAGACTATGCTCATTGTCATCATCGAAAGAAAAGAATTTCTCCCATTTTCCATGCTTTTTGATTACGCTCCTCGTAGCACACTTTAAACGTTAATGGTGCAGCCGTAAATTGCACACGCGTCTTCTCATTTTGTCACGGAAAGAACGTAGAAAGTTGCTCCGCATTATTCGGACTTTTCTAAAATGTATGCTCTTTTTTTTTGTTGCAGCAGCAGTAGCAACAATAAGAATGAACGGTATGAACGGACACGCGAACGGCGGAGAGTTGAACGGCTGCGGCGGAGACATCATCACCCAGAACCAGCAGAAGGGATGCTGGACCATCGGTTTGATCAACTCGAAATTCAGGTACCTCACCGCCGAGACCTTCGGGTTCAAGATCAACGCGAACGGTACGTCGCTGAAGAAGAAGCAGATCTGGACTTTGGAGCCGGAGAATGCGAACGGCAGCGACAGCATGATCTACTTGCGCTCTCACCTGGACAAGTACCTGGCCGTCGATTCTTTCGGCAACGTGACCTGCGAGATCGAGGAGAAGGAGCCGGGCTGCAAGTTCCAGATCACCGTTTCCGAAGACGGCAGCGGTCGCTGGGCTCTGAAGAACGTGGTGCGCGGTTACTTCCTTGGATCCACTTCCGACAAGCTCACGTGCACCGCGAAGGTGCCCACCGACGCCGAATTCTGGCACATCCATTTGGCCGCCAGGCCGCAGGTAAATCCATCAATCCACTACTATCATTGAACGTATCTATATATCAATGTTGGTTTAGGTTAATTTGAGGAGCGTTGGAAGGAAGAGGTTCGCTCACTTGTCCGAGAACCTGGACGAGATCCAGGTGGACGCCAACATCCCGTGGGGCGAGGACACCCTTTTCACCCTCGAGTTCCGTTTGGACGAGTCCGGCAAGTACGCCATCCACACCTGCAACAACAAATACCTGTCGATGCAGGGAAAACTGGTGGAGTCCTGCAACAAGGACTGCCTCTTCTCCGCCGAGTACCACAGCGGACAACTGGCGCTTCGCGACAGGAACGGCACCTACTTGAGCCCCATCGGCTCCAAGGCGGTGCTCAAGTCGCGCTCCAACACCGTCACCAAGGACGAGCTCTTCTCCTTGGAGGACTCGCTGCCCCAGGCCAGTTTCGTGGCTTCACTCAACTCGCGCTTCGTCTCCGTCAAGCAAGGTAAGTCAGCACCTGCAAATTTACGAAATTAACGTTGTCAGTTATTCCTGATTTCTTCTAAAACATTCCTCACCGGCGAATTACCACCTTTGTTTCGTAAATTTAAAAGAAAAAAAAAGCAACAAAAACTTGCCAGGCAACAACAAAAGGGTAATTAAGATTTCGCGCGAATGATTAATTAAAATGCGAATCGTCTGCTTGCTCGCCTCTTCCTTCCTTTCATTTCGCAGACGCCGTTGCCGATCCTTTCGACCTCCGCCGCATCGGGCAATTAAGTACTGAATTAATTTGCCGCAGCGGGTGAAAAATTGGCACTGTGGCTGTCTGTGTGTGTACGCGGCGCACTTAGTACACACGTACGATTTCGTAAACATTAATTACTTAATTGATGAGTGCTAATTAAGTTAATTAAGTTAAGGCCAAGTGCGAGCGAGCAGGCTAGGAAGTAATCAGAATGTACCGTTTCTTGCAACTATTTTCGCACTTTCCTCCATCGCCAATTTGAAATGCAATATCCATCGACGACAGATTAATCGGCTGAAAAACAAACAACATTAATTTGATATCCACTCGGTTCATTTCTTTTCGTTTCTACCTTTCATATTATTTTTGTGGGTCATATATTTGCGCCTTTGGAGGTCATCGAATGATATTATGCTTATGATGATGCTGCTGATGCATTGGAGCAGCAGATGCGATTTGTCGTCGTCGCTCCGCAGCTGACGCTCGTAATGAACGGACGGACGGAGGGACGGGGGCCGCGCCTCGCTGCGGCCTCCTTTTTCCCTGGCAATGATTCTTTCCTCCTTAATTAATTCCACGATCTTGTGCGATAATAATGCACGTCCATCAAAATAAATAAATCCGATAAATTATTCATTCGTCGCGTCGCTGATGAGAAGAGAAGAGAAGAGACGAAACGGATGGAAAAAGCCAATACAAATTCGAAACGTGCACTCGTCGATGCGCCGCACGTCAGCCCCGTTATTCCTAATATGCCTAATCATATTTAGTTTCTCGTATATTCATGTGCACTATGAGTGAACATTTTTTTCATAAGTCGACTTTAATTAAAAGAAAGTTTAGATATTATGTGTCAAGCGGGTCTTAGGCATCGATCAATTACCAATTATAATCATTTAGAACATGTTAAAAAAGAAAACCTTTTTGATCAAATCCACTTAAGAATTATAATTTCGGAGGTTCTTTTTTCCTCATCGGTAGTAGATGATTATGATTGATGATGAGCGTTTGGAAATAGACTTACTCCTTTATCCACTTTAATGAGGTGCTCTTTCATCATTATTTTTCTCCACTCTCGTTACCTCCGTTGAATGCAATTTCCTTGTAAACGTCAGTTCGAGATGAGGGCAATTCGCCTAGGGAATCGATTTGCACAGCCAAGCGAAGAGTAGTTGCGCCTGCAGCATCTACCGAGGATCGTGACTCTCTCTATCTCTCTGTCGTCCTCTCATCTGCTGGACATAAAATCAACATTTATCATTTCGCTATGCCATTTAATTTCTTCTTCAAATTAAATGCAATTGCACTCGAAGACCCCGAAGCTGATTCGAATTACACGCGGATAAACTATCAATTTCTTCGCAAAAAGAGATTTGGATTCCTCGAGTCTCATTAGACGAATAGTTTGTAAGTATTTCAGAAAAGTGAAGCGTGAAGACGGTTGTAATCGTTTCGATGGGATTACGTGCAGCCATTGTGTTGGTAATCGCTTTATTCCCTATGGTTGAATAGAAGAGGGAACAAAAAATAGAAACTTTAATCCCGTCTGGGCGTCCGGACATCTGGTTTTCGTCGCCCACGCGTTTTTCAAATCAGAATATCTAATATTTTCGTCGTCGGCGTCCCTTGTCTGGGGGGAGTGCGAAGCAAAGCGACGGAAAGGGAAGCCTGATAGAAGACGATACGTGACTAGAATGTCTAGAGCACACAGACAGATATTCAACAACAACAAAAAAAAGAAGGAAAAGAAAGAAAAGAAAGAGGAGCTCCCACACACAAAGCGCAGAAGATTTCCTAGAGTTGTGGAAACGCCGTGCGTTCGCTCGTTCTTTGGTGCTTCTCGCACACCTCACAAAACTGGTTGTGAACTTGCAGCGAACCCGAAAGGGAAGGAATGGAAACAGACGTACTGCTCCTTTCTCCTCTCAATTCCCCTCGCCATATCCAACAACTACTACTACTACTACTCCTGTCGCATAACTGCCGGAGAGGAGAGCATTCGCGAAACGAAAGTAAAAATTCTATTGCGAGCGAGGATCGTAAAGAACTCAGACGAGCCTTGTTTGCAATAAGCAGAGTGAAAAGAAGTCGGCGCGGAAGACCAAAGAATGGATAGCAAAGGAAATAACAACAGCAACACAAAAAAATAATTGGATGAATCGCGATGAATTAGTCAACAAGCTAGATAGAAATGATCCTTGCTCGCATGTTAAACGCTCCTCGCTGTTATGTCTTTAAACATGAAAGAACTGCATTTGATTTGAAAAGTAATAATCATCAAGTATCTGCTGGCGTTTCTGATTTGAAATATAAGAAGAGCAAAGATGGAATTATAAATTACGGAGATCGAGTTACCTCTGGTTAAATCAATGGTCGTTGTTGTCATGGAAATCAATTCAATAAAAACATGGCCTTCGGGCTGCCTCTTCCTTCCTCCATCCGTAATAACAATCATGATCATTTCGGTTGCATCGTGCTTCTTTGGAGCTGCACGTCTTCCGTCGTCGTCATCCGACATCCGCCGGAAACGGAATCTATAAAACAGGAATATTAAATTAAAAACAAAGAGCTTCGCGTTGAATTCGTTTCGAATACAATCGCATTTGAATTATTACTGCCAACCGATTGTTGCTGCAATCTATTATTTTCGACAGGGAATTATGGGGAATTTCGCGTAGTTCTGTTGGCTGGCTTTTGGTGCAACGATTTGGGGGATGCGATGCAAATTCGAATTGTTTTGCAATTATGCCCAACAATTGCGCTTGGAAACCCAATATCGTTTATTCGCACTTTGAATTGGGGATTAGTTAATGGATTGTGATAGACTTACGTGGGTTGTTGGGTCGATGGTGGCGGAAAGGGAAAGAGCCGCGACGATGGGCTCGCAATAGTGCGTCATTTGTTATAATCAATTGGCGTTGTTGTCGATTTGGTGCCAACTGCCATTTTTATTTAAAAAGAAAATAAATAAACAATTGATTGTTGAAGAGTTGGAAAACCGTTTAGTTTAGCTTTCACGCTTGTTTAAAACATGGATAAAAAATGTAAACAAATAGTTGTAATGAAAATAGAGCGACGAGTTGAGAATGTGTAAGAAGCGTTGTTCTCACCGGACGAAAGAAAAGAAGAAGAATAGCTATGACATTTAGTAAGTTAGAAACAAAATTACAAAAATTGCGGCGAACATCGTTCGTTTAGGACGGATTTCCACATAGGAATGTTGAGAGAGAGAGAGAGAGAAAGAGAGATAAAGTGAGAAGTTAAGGAAGGAACATGTGTCGGTGAGAGGAATTCCCGTTGCCGTTTTGTTTTGCTTTTGAAAATCACAGGTGGCCGGGGCCAACGTGTAACGGGATGCGGCGCGCAAATTGATTTTACCACACTCGTATCTCTGCTGACTTTCTTTCTTTCTATCTTTATATTTATTTATTAAATATTGCGTTATTTTTTTGTTGCAGGAGTCGACGTGACCGCCAACCAGGACGAGATCTCCGACCACGAGACGTTCCAGCTGGAGTTCGACTGGTCGACGAAGAGATGGTACATCCGCACCATGCAGGACAAGTACTGGACGCTCGAGACCGGCGGCGGCATCCAGGCGTCCGGTGATAAGAGATCGTCGAACGCCCTCTTCGAGCTGGACTGGCAGAAGGACGGATCGCTGGCGTTCCGCGCCAACAACGGTCGCTACGTGATCACCAAGAGGTCGGGCCATCTGTACGCCACCGCGGAGACCATCGAGGACAACTGCAAGTACTTCTTCTACCTCATCAATCGGCCCATCCTGGTGCTCAAATGCGAGCAGGGTTTCGTCGGCTACAAAGCGGCGAACAATCCGAAGCTCGAGTGCAACAAGGCCAGCTACGAGTGCATCCAGGTGGAGAGAGGAGACAAAGGAGTGGTGCACTTCAAAGGTACGACGATGATGATATATTCTCGTCAATTGGGTTGCCTAATTCGATCTTTGCTTTTTTGTTGCAGGTCAAAGCGGAAAGTACTGGCACGTCGACAGCGAGGGCGTCACCGCCGATTCCGACGTCCAGGAGGGTTTCTACCTGGAGCTGAGGGAGCCGACGAGGTTGTGCATCAAGAGCCTCCAAGGAAACTACCTGACGGCCAGCAAAAACGGCGTCTTCCGTTTGGGCGACACCGCCATCGAGAACGCTACCCAATGGGAATACTAGAAACGAAGAAAAACAAAATCAGATCATTAACAACAAACAAAAGAAGAGGAAACAAATTTCGTCGAAGAGCCGAGCTATCCACTATATATTTATTTATTATTATTATTTAATATTTCCGCAAATGAAGAAGAAGAAGTGGGTGTTTGTGTGTGTGTAACGAACGTACGAACGAACATACTTATTTCGCGCTTCGCTCATCTTCCCCTATCGCTATTGTTTATTTATTTTAAGTACTTACTTAATATGTGGTGTAGAGCAAAAAAAGAAAGGTGAAAAGTAAAGAAAAGCGTATTAGAATTATCTTGTGATGATGATCATTACTATTACTATTATTACTAATGTGGTATAGATTTTGTGATCGAAAAGAGGCGGTTACTTAGCAACAGAATAATTTCGCAAACTTGATTTGATCATTAATTTCATTTTTTTGTTTTTTCTTAATCGAATGAACAATTGAAGATGCATCCCCCCCTACGATGGGGGGGATGCGGGATCTTCGCGAGCCAAAAACTGCCAACATTATTATTCAACAATGAAACGTACACGCATAATATAAATATATATACATAATAAAGAAAATGTGCGTTCTATACGAGAAATCTTGTTTTTTTTTTCTTGTAAGAAGAGAAGAGAGTTACGCTCTTATGATGGAATCAACAAAAGTACACGAAGCAATTTTTTCATTTTGTACATACTATATAATATTATAATATGAAGCGATTGTAGAAGGTATCAAGTCGACCCTCGTGTATTTTTGTTATTCTATTATGATTAGTAATTAATACTACTACTATTACTACCATAGGTATATTTCATTTAGTTTGTGTATCCAGAACTGTTGCATTTATATGGAAAGGAAGGATCAATTCTCTCATCCTTTCGATTTTTTTTTTGTTTAAATTCTATTTGTTTACATATCTCGTAGTGCGTAAGTTTCTATATACTATTATTCAATCTATACATATGCATATATACATACATACATACATTTATCGTTACTTTCTTTTCACTTGTTCCTCTTTTCTTTTTGAATTTTACATATGTACGCAGCATCAATCAATCAATACACGCTACTAACTAACTATATATTATTTGTAAGTGTAAGTAATGTAACCGAAAACTTTTGTAATTTTATACATACACCGAATAATAATGAATGCAGAAAGGTAATGAAAACTTATCTTATGAAAAAGAAGAAGGTCGTTTTCTTGATAATAAAACATATATAGAGGAGACTATGGGAATCAGAAAGGAATCAGAAAATATGTAACGTGTTCTTTCTTTTTATGTACGATATTTAGCGAGTAAATAAAACAAATTGATATTACTTTCGACCTACAGATTCATTCATTAATCCCAATGACCTGCTGATATATATATATAGATGGGATCACCTGCATTATTTATGATATCAACTAATTGTTTGAAAGCAGCAGCCAAATATTTGATCTTAGATAAAACTGTTCTCGTTCTATTTTCCGCTCTATTTGCTTAATTCCGATTCTTTCTGTCTGTCTGTCTATTTATTTTTGTTTTCGGGCGAGTTAAGTTATTAAACCTGTATGCAATTGGAAATGTCGCCCATTCCAAAAACGAAATGCATCCAGAACGGAAAGAGGACGAGAACACACCGCGTTTCCTCTACTTCTGCGTGGCGACCAGTAAGTAACAACTCACCGTGATGATGTAAAGTAATGCGTGTTTTGAAGTAAACCTGGCGTCGTTCACCTGCGGAACGGCGTTCGCTTGGTCCTCGCCATCGATCCCCCGTCTTCACGAGGAGCTGCTGCATCCTCCGGACACGACAGAGGAATCGCTGATCGCCTCTCTACTCGCCGTCGGCTCGATTTTCAGCCCGTTCCTTGCCTTCATCTCCGACGTGATAGGAAGAAAGAAAGCGGTCATCCTCGCAACAGTTCCCATCTACTCGAGCTTCCTGCTGATCGCGTTCGGGACGCAACTGTGGTGTTTCTTTCTTGCGCGATTCCTATCCGGCTTCTCGATCGGCTGGTACTTCGTGATCATCCCCAATTACGTGGCCGAGATCTCCGAGAAGCACAACCGCGGACGGATGAGCTGCTTCCTGGTGCTGAACATCACCTTGGGCAACTTGCTGATCTACTGCATGGGACCGTACCTGTCCTTGCTCGTATCCAGCTTCATCTGCCTCATAGCCCCAACCCTGCTGATCTGCTTGATGCTCAAATACGTCCCGGAGAGTCCCTACTATCTGATGACGGTGGATCGAAAACTGGAAGCGGAAGAGTCGTTGCGGAAGCTGCGCGGCCTCAGCGACGTGCTGCAGGAATCCGAAGACATCCAGAGGGGAATCAAGGCGACGTCGCAATCCCGAATGACCGATCTCTTCCACAAACGGAGTTTAATCAAGTGCTTGTTAATAACCATCGGTTTGGTGACTTTCCAGCAGTTCTCCGGCGTCAACGCCATCCTCTTCTACCTGCAAACTGTATTCCTCGAGACCGGAAGCGAACTTGAACCGGAAATATCTTCCATCGTCGTCGCCGTCGTGCAATTCACCAGTTCCACCATAACGCCGTTCCTCGTCGATCGTCTCGGTAGGAAATTCCTGCTCTACGTCTCCGGCATCGGAACGCTCATATCTCTGATAACGCTCGGCCTATTCTTCTACCTGAAATCCAACAATTATTCAGTGGAATCGCTCAGTCTGATGCCCATCCTCTCGCTGATGTTCTTCATATTCTCTTACACTGTCGGTTTCGGTCCGATGCCGTTCACCATCCTCGGAGAAATCTTCCCGCAAAACGTTAAATCCGCCGCGTCCACTTTAACCGTCAGCATCTCTTCGTGCTTCACCTTCATCACGACCCTCTTCTTTCCCTATCTCCTGCAGCTCGTCGGTTTCGGCATCTCCATGTGGCTCTTCGCCGCATTCTGCCTCGTCAGTTTATTCTTCACGTACTTTTTCGTGCCTGAAACGAAAGGCAAGAGTTTACAAGAAATCCAGAAAATGCTCAACCTGTGAACCTATTTATATAATACAATCTTTCGCAACAATCCCACTTACTGTTAGTTAGATTAAATTTTTTTGTTGCATCTTTAATCTGTTTGACTTGCAAATCTGACGATTATAGTCAAATTTGTAACTCATCAAGTTAGTTACTTAGTAGATCGTTGATTGGGAGTTAGGTTTAACTTTGCGTTAGACGCGCTCGTGATGTAACGTTAATGTTGAAAATAAAAATTGCGCAAATCTTTGCTCGTGCATTAAATAATGCTCATCGCTGGTCGTAAAGCGTGTGTGTTTGCTCGATTTAAATAAATTACGTCGAGAGAGCGTTAAGCCGCGCGATTAAGATCAGTTGTTTGCACGTCGAATGTTTCGGGGGGACAGATTCTACAAACAACAAAATAATGTATAAATAAACAAATGGGATAAAAAAAACGACAAAAAGCGCTCATCACGTCAGTCATTCCGTTGCAACTTCAACGATTCACGATGGACGATAAGAAAGGTGGTAACGGGATGTTTCTCTTCGTGTCGGTGGTGGCTGGTAAGTGAATAACTGTTTGCATCGCTTAGCAACTGACGTTGTTTTTTCTTGCCAGTTAATTTCGCTTCGTTCACCATGGGAACGGGATTCGGATGGACGTCGCCGTCGGTGCCGAAGCTGAACGGCTTCGAGGATGCCGAGCTCGGCGATCCGATCACCTCCACCGAAGAACTGTTTCTCGGTTCGCTGATTGCGATCGGTGGAATCTTCAGTCCGCCACTTTCGGGGATCGCCGCCGATGCCATCGGAAGGAAATGGACGCTCCTCGCATTCACAGTACCGATTTTGGTTTCGTACCTGATCGTAGCTTTCGCCCGGGACATCTGGTGGTTCTTCGTTGCCCGTTTCTTGGCCGGATTCTCTGCGGGAACGTACTACGCGGTCATCCCGAATTACGTGGCGGAAATCTCCGAGGTTTCGAACCGCGGCGCCTACAGCTGCTTCCAAGCCGTCAACGTTCCGCTGGGAGTGCTCATAACGTACGCGGTGGGACCGTTCTTGAATTTACAGAACAGCAGTTTCGTCTATTTGGTAGCTCCGATTCTGTTCTTCATTCTTTTCGGCTTCTTCATCCCCGAAAGTCCCTACTTTCTGCTGACCAAGAATATGGACGTCGAGGCCAGAGAGGCTTTGGCCAAACTGAGGGGAAAGCGGAAGGAGGACGTGGAGAAGGAACTGATCGAGATGTCGGATACTCTGAGAGAATCTAATTCGAGCACGAGCATCCGCGAATTGCTCAAGTCCAAAGTTTTAGTTAAAGGTTTATCGATAACTCTCGGTCTGGTGTTCTTCCAGCAGTTCTCCGGCATCAACGTGCTTCTCTTTTACATGCAGACCATCTTCGAGGCGACGGGAAGCGCGATGCCCGGACAGCACAGCTCGATGATCATCGCGGCCGTGCAGATTTCCGGCGCTCTCCTTACGTCGGCGGTCGTCGATAAATTGGGTCGTCGTCTGCTCCTCATCGTCTCGTGCATTGGAACGACGGTTTCCTTGATCGCGCTCGGTGCCTTCTTCCATCTGAAGGACGATGGTCAGGATGTCTCGCAGCTGGGTTGGCTGCCTATAGTCAGCCTCATCGCGTACATGATTTCGTACGGCGTGGGCCTCGGACCGGTCGCCTTCACCGTCCTCGGCGAGATCTTCCCACAGAACGCGAAGGCGACGGCCTCCACCCTCACCATTTCCATCTGCTTCTTCCTCACGTTCGTCACGACCGCCCTCTTTCCCTATCTGATGGACGTCATCGGCAAAGCCTTCACGTTCTACATCATCGCAGCATTCTGCTTCTGCGGCCTTTTCTTCGTCTACTTCGTGGTACCTGAAACCAAGGGCAAAACTTTCAGCGAAATTCAGAAAATGATCGGAGCCTAAAACCTTAAAATAAAACTTAATGCCTATCTTTCATAAAGATAGTTTCTATATAAAATAAACTTTTTCGTTACTAAGCAACATTAGTAAATAGATTATCTATTACCTAGCAACATAATTGATTGTTTCTAATATGCATAATATACAAATCACGGTTACCTAGAGACGTGAAAACAAAAATCGTTAATCCTACACCCGATTAAGCCGATACGTACATACTACGACTCATCGCATCTTTCATTCATCCGTAGGATTTATTATCAAACATCAATAGCGAAAAAAAAAAGGAAATATTATATAAATGACTTAACAAACGTTTTATGGTCGCGGCGATAAGGAAATTCGCGAAAACAACAAATAACGAAATACGAGGGGAAAAAAATCGTCTAGCTCAATGATCCGTAATAAATAGATCATTGGGCAAAGTCCGAATCAAATCAAATTATGAATTAATTAAAATAAATCTAATTAACACTAAATGTTCTTCAATGTTTCAATTTCAAATGAAAAAAAAAAAACATGAAATATTGAAGACGATCTTAAACACGATGTGTTTATTACCTTTATCTCTCTCATCCTTTACTGCAGGGGTTATAAATGTCCAAACTCAGGTTGAAGGTTTGTTTTGTTTGGAATTCTTGCAATTACAAATACATTTATCAACCATCGTCTTCACTTCTGTTCAGCTTTACACTTCTTTCAACATTCTAATGATTTGTTATTGGAGGTGACTTCAATACTTGTGCGCTGAAGAAGTATTGTTTTTGGGTAAGCGATGATTGTTTCGTTTCTTATCTGGTCGTGTGTCGTAAAGCGCGAGTATAAAAATGAAAAAAATCGTTGGATTTTGTTCATTTTTATTTGTGCGTCGTCGCGATGGCCCCGAAGAGGCAAACGTTGTTCCTGTACTTCTCGACATGCATCGGTAAACATTTGATTTCATCGTTTTCTTATTATTGTTTACACTTTTTCAACTTGTCGCAGCCAATCTGATGACGTTCTCGGCGATCGTGTCGTTCACTTGGTCGGCGACGAGCATTCCGCGCCTCAACGGCAGCAAAGAACCGGAGAACAATCCATTGGAGAAGCCGATCGGTTTCCAGGAGGAATCGCTGATCGCATCCCTGTATTTCGTTGGAGCGATGCTGGGACCGCTGATGGCCGGCTTCGTCGCCGTCAAGTTCGGCAGGAAGGTGACCATCATTCTGTTCACGGTGCCGACGTTGATCAGTTTCCTGATGACGGCCTTCGGCACCACCGTCGAGGTGCTCTACGTGGGCAGATTCTTCGGCGGCATCTCCGGCGGAACTGTTCTAACGATAATTCCGCTGTACACGGCGGAGATCTCTGAGCCGCACAACAGAGGCATCCTCGGCGCTTTCATCGGACTCTTCTCCACCTTGGGCAATCTGTACGGATACAGCGTCGGCGCGTACACCTCCATCGAAACTTTCTCCCTCACCGGCCTCGTGTTCCCCGTGATCCTCTTCGCGGTGATGTTCTTCTTCATCCCGGAAACTCCTTACTACTGGATCTCCAGAGGGAAAGAGGACGAAGCTGTTAAATCTCTGAGGCAGCTGCGCACCGGAGACCAGAAATCGATCGATCTGGAGATCGAGGTGATTAAGCGTACGATAGAGCAGAGCGATAGAGATAGGGGACGCTTCATGGACATCTTCAAGTCGAAGGCGTCCAGACGGAGTCTGCTGATCACGTTAGTCGGTGGCGGTATCCAGCAGTTCTCGGGCATCTTCGCCATCCAATTGTATATGCATCAGATTTTCGCGGAAGCCGGAAGCAACCTGGAACCGGAAGTATGTTCGATCATCTTAGGGGCGGTGAGAGTGGCCGCATACGTAATCGCCGTGCTCGCGGTGGACAGATACGGTCGTCGCTTCCTGCTGATGGAATCCTCTATAGGCACGTGCATCTCTCTCACCGCGATCGGCATCTTCTTCTACCTGAAGACGTTGGGCTACGACGTCGAGGCCATCACTTGGCTCCCGCTCGTCGGTCTCATCTGCTTCGATCTCAGCTACAACACGGGCATCGGTTGCGTCCCCGTTATACAAATAAGCGAATTGTTCCCCGAGCATCTCAAAGGCATCGCCTCGATCATAGTCATCACATTCTGCTCCGTCCTCTCGTTCATCATCACCCTAATATTTCCGTACATGGAGGCGGAAATCGGTATGGGGCCCAGCTTCTGGGTGTTCGCTTCGAGCGGCCTCATCGGTGCCATCTTCACATACTTCGTTGTACCTGAAACCAAGGGCAAAACACTCTACGACATACAAATCATGCTCAACAAGTGAACAAACATTTAAATGATAATCAAATCATAATTTATATAATCATATTATATTAATATATATATATAAAAATAGACCTAATAAATTATATTTATTAATCAGCAGAACAAATTGTATTTATGTATGTTTATGGCTTATCTAAACGGACGTAGCAATAAACCAGCTCTTATCGAATCCTTCAAAAAAAAAAACTTAAACCTTGCAATTCACTAAATTCACCTAATCTTCGGCAATAAAAACAAAAACCGAATCGAAATATTGATGATCACACATTGTATTATTAATAATTCCCTTTGTCTTTCCACACAATACACTAAAACGATTTAGTTATTATAAAATAGACAAATTCAATTGGTTTCGGGATGGAAGGAAGGAAGGAAGAGTATAAGCCATCAATAATGGTTAATGAAATTTAAGTAAATCATATATTTTCTTAATTTCCCTAATAATCTTATGAATGTAAAACACCTGTTTTAATTGATTTTTTTTGAACATCTAGTATTGGGTGAAAACGCCGTTCCCCACTTTACGGTATTTGAATGGGCGTCTGCGATTCCGGGCGCTAAAACAAAACGCAATTTCCATTGAAATCTCCATTTTCTCGTTGTCGTTCGCGCTATTAAAAATGAATGAACACTCACCAGACGCTCCTGAAGAAGACTGTGCTCTGCGTGGGTGTAGCTCCTGACGCTGTGATAGAGGAAGACTCGACGCTCTCCAGGTAAACGTCGAAGAATGAGCACAAGTATCGCAATTGGACGGCGAGCAGCCAACCGGCGCTCTTCTCGTCCGTCTGCCAGCCCAAATTCAAAGCCCTCTCCATATCCTTAACATCGAAAGTTAAAAAAATAATTTCAATCGAACTGTTCCTCTTACCCTGATGTCATCCGAATTGGTGGCGCTGTGATCACCGTTGGATTTGACGGTGAGCAGGAAGAGCGGCGCTCTGATCGGGTAGGTGTTCTTGATGACGATGGATGCGCTCAGGATGGACTTGTGCCTGATCACGGTCGCCGAGTAGAAGAGATCGTTGGCGCTCGCCATCTCCTCCTCGACCAGTTTCACGGAGTTCGGGGTTTCCGTGCAGAACCGCGCGAAGCTCATCGGTGCGAACTTGGTGAGGACGGACGTCGCCGTCTTCGGATGCTCCACCTCGCTCGGTATCATCGGAATGAAGTTCTGCTCGAGCTGCTGCAGTTGCTCGGCGAGCGCGTACCTCGCGTCCAATCTGCTCCTGAGCGACCTCAGCACGGACTCCACGTAACTGGGACTCACCTTGTTGGTAAGTTTACAACCCTGCGCAAGAAACCAAATATAAACATCCAGATTACTCTAGAAGTTATGTAAGAAAGAGCACTAACTGGTTTCTTCATGAATTCCAATCCGCACAACTTGTGGGCCCAACCGTAAGCAAACCCGATCTTCTGGATGAGCGATTCGAACGTTCCCAAGTTAACTTTATCCAATTGGTACTGGTTCTTCGAGTTGGGACTTTCCTTCCCGGTGTCCCCATCGAAGATCTCGTTGAGAATACCCTCACCGGACAGCACTTCTTTCGCGCAATTCCCTGCAATTACAACCAATTAATAATCAATTTCTACTTAAATTGTAATAAATACCGGTGATTTTCGAAGGTATTTCCACGTTCGAGGTGACCGTAATGATCTTAAGTTGCACCCTGTACAAGAACTTGATCTTCAGCTGCGGCCCACCGTTCGGTACGTCCATTGTAATCTCGATGGAAAGAGGATGCGGTTCGAGGATCTTCCGTTTCTTCTCCTCCATCTTATCGATCAGCGAAGCCTTCCTGTGCCTCCTTTTCTTACCCTCCATAGGTTCAGGTTCCTGAAAACCCAGAAAATTAACGAACGTTAAACAACTATAACTTGGATGACCTCACCTCCAACGAATCAGCGTCGGAGTCTTCAACGATATTCAAACGACTCGCGTTGAACTGCTGCGCCTCCTCCTGATCCCCAACGATTTCAATTGCTATCCTCGAATCTGAAGCATTCAATAAAATAAATAAAAATCTTTTAATTACGTTAAAAAGACAACTCACCGATAACTTTGTAACCCTCGCCGTTGTAGTAAAGCAAATAGAGCTCATCAGGCAATAAACTGGCCATCTTATGCTCGTTCCTGGTCTTCTCCAGAGGCAACCCCAGCAGCTCCTGCAGCGGTTTAGTCGCCTCGATTATGTTCGATAACGTCGGCCCCAAAGCGTCCAATTTCTCTTTACGATTCACGATATCTTTACCCAACAGCCTCTTCTCGTTATCCAGCGTATCGCACAGTTTGGATAGTTTGATCCTCTGCTGCAGCTCGTGCTCCAGCATCGCCAGATGCAGCTCATGCCTCAAGTTATTATCAGCAGTTTGCACCTAAAACATAGTTAATTCAACAACTTCAACAATAAAGTGTATGGAAACTGACCTCTGTAAATTTGCCGACAACTTCTTCGGGAGCAACCTTCAAGAATTCCTCAGTGGAAATCAACTGAATATCCTCATCCTTCGATCTAATTACAAAAGAATGTTTAATAAAATATTTATACAATTAAAAAGGGTACATACTTATATTGCCTGCATTTTTCAAATTCCGAGCACAAATGGGCCAGCTCGTACAGCAGGTTCTGGAACTGCAGATTAATGCTATCCAATTTTTGCTTTTCTTGATTCAACTGTTCCCTTGCCATCGACATTCTGACCTTCTCCAATCGATTCAATTTTTTCAACAGAACGATTTTCAAGCAGGCTTCCTTCCTTTTGAGCATAATCAAACTCTTATTCTTAAAACAAAATTATGATATTATCAATTATTATTCGTTGCTTAAATTCATCAACTCACCTCCTTCTCCTCACACTTCTCTTTGTAAATATCGGCAAGCAGTTGCCTGATGTCCGAACATGTTTGCAAGTATAGTCCAGCATCTTTCTCCGCAGACCTTTGGGTGGCCTCCTTTTCTTCAAAACTCACAGCTTTCTGTAAACAACAACAATATAGAAACAATTGCAATACGTTTGCGTCGCGTGAATCCTAACCTTATAAATATCGCCGCTCGCATCGAAATCGCTATTCTTGTTGGGTTTCTTCTTGCTCTGCGCCCCATCTTTCACCATTTTCGTGCGGTCTTTCGCACAGAAATCTCGAAAACTCTTGAAATACTTACGCCGTCGACGAAGAGCACAGCAGTAAACAAAACATAACCACTAAAACAAAAGTTTATATTTTGTTTTTTTCGCAAGTGACACTAAAGTTGGCAACAGTTATCTTCAAACAATCATAGGCGTAGAATATAGGGGGTTTTCATTCAAACTTATCTAAATTAATCTTCAATTAATCAGGCTGAAGACAAAGAAAAACAGACGAAAACATGTATAAAATCATTAATTCTATTATCTATTTATATTGTGCGTTCAAGATGTATATACAAAATCAAATTACCAAAAATAATAATTATTACTTATAAGAATGCTTTAAAAATGTCATTAATAAAATGATAATTACACAGATTTCACTTTTAACGGGAATTTTCCTTGCGTTAATTGCAAGTTAATTGCGCCCATATATAAAGGATTGACGCGAGTAATTCGTTCCGAGTACTCGAAAGTCTTTCAGAATGAGGATTCCCTATTTCCTGCTGGTGCTGATCATCGTCGTTCTCGTCGTCGTCGTCAGCGAAGCGAAGAAAAACAAGGGCAAAGGCAATTGTCACGGCTGCAATAACCATCATGGTGGAAATTATCATGGCGGTAACCAACATGGCGGTAACTATCATGGCGGAAATTACCATGGTAACAAACATCATGGAGGCTATCACCATAGTAAGTAAATAAACACACAAAACGATTGATTTTTAATTAATTTAATTTTATTATGCAGAACGTGACGTTAGCGGTCAGGAGGAACCATCACCGAAACCCACCGTTGTCGTGGACATCTCAATTGCAAAGGGAAAGCACGAGAACCGCTGGAGACCATCGTTCCACGGGAATGTGAATCCAACGCAGAAACCGAAAGGACAAGTGGTTCCAATTAAACCGCTCGTTGGAATACCGAAATCAGCATTGAAAGCAGAGCCAAATTCTGTTGACGGTTCGAAGTTTGGACCCATCGTTGGAGCATTAACGAAAGCTTAATATATAAATAATATTATTCGTTGTTTTTAATTGCTAAAATAAATACAAATCCAAATTGACAAAACAAATTTTTATTTAATTACAGCCAAACGTATGAAACCACAGTAATATATCGATTCCAGTTATTGTTTCCTA